TTAGTTTTTGTTTTTTATGTAATTTAGATTAGGATAAAACTTTTCACCAATCTATTTAAACCCCCGTCTTTAAAACTTTAAAAACACCTTTTCTTAAAATTTGTAATATAAAAGCTATTAAATTATTATTAGTTTTAACTAACTAGAGCTCTATTATTTTCAAAAACGTTATTTTTAAAATTTCAACATTAGCAAAAATTGTGTCCTTTCCATTTGAACTTTTTTACTATAGCTAGGAAAATTTTATTCTGAAATCTTACATGTTCAAAATTTCTTTCTTTTTTAATTAATCAATGTCTGTGAAAATTTACACAAAGATCTGTATATATTTCTTTATTTTTCTAAAATATTATATTAAAGCTTTTTTGTTCTCAATCTTCTGAATTTCATTTTTTGGAATAAAAAACAAAGAAATTAAAATTCACTTTTCTAGTCAATCTGGGTTACATTAACCAAATTTTTAACAACAAATTATTGTCAGACACTCCTCTACTTGTAAAATTTCCCTTAAAAATTTTTATTTTAGCATAGATGGATAATACCACAATGGGCTTTGTCTTATTATATTACAAGAGTATGCAGGATTTGAATCTATGTAAAACATTTTTATGTAGATTTAAAGTCAGGAATTTGTAAAGTAAAAAAATATAAATACTGTAAAATGTGTACGAGAAATCCTTTGCTTCTCTGGGGTTCGGTCACGAGCTGGACGCGCGAAATTTAGTAGTTATATCTCTGGCGAAAAAAAAACACTAATTATTTATGAACCTCAATTTTTGATAAAAATTTACATAAAAAACAATTCAATTTTTAAAAGTTAAATTAATGATAATGTCATTTTTGATATTAAACCAAATATAAAATTTTAATTAAATTGGAGTTTTGTTAAAAAATAATATGTTTTAAAAATAAAACAAAAATTAGAAAAAGATGCTAGTTGGGATGTCCCCGGGGTATGTTTACATGTTTAAAAAGAAATCTATTAAACTCTTGTTAGAGATTTCGGTTTTAAATAATGTTGTTTTATAAAATTTATTGTATTCTTGTTTCTTTTTAAAATTCATATCCTTAAATTAAATATTTTCTAAAACAAAAAATATCAAATTTTTGGGAGAAAACTAACAGAACTTTTTACTACAGATTCTTGTGATGAATTGAGTCATGACACAAGTTAAATAATTGCATTTTTTTGTTTATATATTTTATTATTTTTTAACGTTTAAAACAAATTTTTATCTTATTATAAATAAAAACTCCTTTCATATTACAATGCTTGTCAATAACCTTTTGTAAGATCAAAAAAAGTACAAATTTAAATAACTTACAAATAATTTTTATTTTAAGCCCTAAATGAACATTAAACAACCCTTCGTTATGATTAAATCAGAATGAATACAGAGCCACCTGTTTAAACAAATAATAAAAAAGTTTGACGCCAAAGATTTAAAACCTACCAATATAAAATTCGTAATTCCTAACATACCTTTAGTTTACGAACATTATGAACATTTTAGCCATAACCTTTTATTTAATGAAATGGTGGATTATTTGTGAAGTGGTATGGTCATTTGTATGATTTGAGAGGGAATTGATTCTATTGACGTATGCAGGCGTATAATTGTCTTACTAATCCATTAAAGGCTGCTATGGGGTCAATAAGAGTGAATTCGCAGTAAATTCTAATGAAAATGTTATACACAGAAATGATACTGAGGAAAATGCTTAAAAAGAAATATCTTTATGGTTTTTATAAATTTTTATTTGACATCAATATATATAAAAAGTTCGAATCTGAAAATTCACTTATTTTTTAACTCTTTTTTTAAAAAATTTGTAAAATTCATATTTTTTTTTAAATACGAGTAGCATCATTTTAGAGTTTATTTCTCTAAGCACGAAACGGTGTTTTTGTGCATTTTCTCCTGCTTTTATTTAGTTATATTAATCTTATACAAGGTGTCTATAGCAAATATTCTTTTATGATAAAAAGGGCAATTTGTAATTAAAGATAATAAAATAAGTACATACATAAAGGCACATCATATCTATCAAAAATATCTATTAAAAAGAAAGAACACACATCATATTTGTGATCTTATTTTCAACGGGATAGCGTAAGCTAGTCAATATATATATAAAGTCTGAATCTGAGTATTTATTTATTTTTAACCTTTTTTTCTTACAAAATTTGTTAACATATTTTTTTTAAGAAATAACAATTTTTCGTATTTGACCATATTATGTACATCTTTATATTTTAAACATTTTCCTATAGTTTGTTTATTTAATTTTTTAATTTGAAAAATGTATGCTGTTGCATATTTCAATTCTGATTAAGAGAGTTTAATTTTTTAATTTTAAATAATACATACACGGCGCTTAAGGACATTATATACGATTGAAATAAAAGGAAGCATATATCGTATTGTAATCCCGTTTTAAACAGGATGGCGTAAGCTAGTTTTTTTATTTTAATAATGTAATACATAAACCCACGCGACAAATTATTAGTAAAATCATTCTTTTATAACGGTTGATTTCACTATAAATGTTATTTTTTTGAATATCAAACATATTATGATGCAAAATTTATACTGTTACCTTTAAATATTATTCTTTCTATGGAAGAAAAGAAACGTTATTAAAGGGTAAAATTCTCCTTGCTGTTTTTTACTTTACAATATCCAAATCAATATTGTACATTTTAACATGGACACTGATTAAAGGAAATAAAGCTATTTTAATTTACCTTATATCACAGCTTATTTTCTTTGGTGTAAGTTCCACATATCATACTACTACATGAAAAGATGAACGTGCAGAATATTTAGTTCGGCTTATTGATCATATATCAATTTTTATATTGATATATGGTGCACAAATATCCGTAGTTCTATTACTACTTCCGTATACAATAGTGTCTAAGACCATTGTTATGATTTCATAAACGATAATTTTAATTGAAACTCTGAAATTTGTATTGTTTCGTAGCCTTAATCACATATTTGATACGTTAGTCTACATATTACATGGCATTCCTGTTGTTCCTTTTTTTAAGATAATAAAAGTCAGTGTAAACACTTTAGACCTAACATTTATAGTAATGGGCGGTATTGTGTACGTCATAGATGGTATTGTATATGGATATAAAAGACCAGATCCTTATCCATTTGTTTTCGGTTATCATGAAATTTTTTATGTTACAACAGTACTAGCTAATTATTGCTTTTTTATACCAATGTTTAAACAATATGTAACTACATTAAAAGAAATGGAAACAGTGTATATTTTTTATTAATTTACTTCACAATAATTGTCGTTCTTTGAATTAATATACCCGTGTAAATCTATAGCAACTTCAACACTTTCACGTAAAATATCGCAAGGACTGAACTGATATTTAATCAATTCTCTTAAACATTCATCCGTTCCAATAATCCCTAAAGCTTCAGCACATTCATGTCTTACCATTGCATGTTCATTTTCATCCCTCATACATTCTACTAAGTATTTAACAGAATCAGCTGATCGAATTTGGCCAAAGACAAAACTGACCTCATGTTTAAACAGCGCAGATTTGTCTCGAAGACCTTGGCCTAGAATATCTATTGTATTTGTATATTCAGCAGCATCTCTCAGATAAAACATAGCTTGATAGCGTTTATAAAGACATTCTTTATCATTCAAAAAAATTCTCTTAGCTTCATCAAGATTCATACCTTCAAGAGGAAGTGCAGGATCGCGAGAGTCAAAAGGTGAAACGTAATTAGATTTCATTTTTATTTTTTGCAATGCCAAATAACAAGTTTCCTCAACAGGAATACACCCACATCTACTATTTATTTCAAGTGCATCAACTATATCGTCCCTATAAAAAAAGTTTCCTAGTGCTTCACCTGCCTCATGTCGTACTATTTCATTTTCAAATGAATTGCTGAGAACATTTATAAGTGTTTCTATTGCATTTTCTAGTCTCATTTGACCGAGAACATAAGCTACTTCGTGCTTTAATAAAACCGATTTGCTTGTAAAAGCTTTGCACAATATGTTAACCGACTCCTCTGTCAAAATGTTTCGTAAATAAAACAATGCTCTCATTTTTTTTGCAATGTGTTGTGTGTCATCAAGAATCAGTTTTTCTGCTTTACGAATATCCATAAAAGGGGTATTAATCGATTAAAAAAGAACATCATCTAAAAATTCGACAAAATTCTATTTTTATCCCTTGTAATTTTTAGCTCCAAATAAGACTAATAAAATTTTAAAGGGTCCGTGGATTTAGTCAAAACTATATAGTTTAATAACAGTAGTAAATAAATAGAAAAATTATTAATGTTCTGTTTTATAGATAAATCCTTGGGTCGTAGAAAAGTTAAGAGATGTATGCTAACAAAAATTTTTACAAATGTCGTTGTTAGGGCTGGTAACGGTTGTTTTCATTTAGAAAGTTATGACAATATTGGCAGGCAGGTGGCCAGAGCTAAGGAAGCTTCTAATGATGCACGTCGCTCTGCCTATAGTACGGTTTTTATTTAAATAGTGTTTATTAATATGTCCTTGTAGATCTATAAGGTGTTTCCTGTGAGGGGCCCTGCGGCTGTGTTTTTTATTATAATTTTTATGATTTATTGGGATTAAGTAAAAAATATTTTTTAGATTAAAATTTTTTAAGAAGAGAAGAAAATAATTTATGTGGAAGATATTACCACAAAGGTATTATGATTAATATCTTTTAACATTCCTTTTCTAAATATTGTTTACTTCTTTGAAAATTGACACGCAAATATTTTGACCGTACTAAGATGGTTTTTTAAAATTAGAAAATGTAAAAAGGGCCAAAGCTGGTAAAAATTTTGAAATTATTTTTGAAAATTAGATAAGCAAAGATATAAAACAATAATAAAAAATATTATTGATTTATTAAAACAATATAAAATTTATATTTGTACAATAAAACGAATTTCTCTCAAACCACATGAATGTTGCAGGTTTATATATTTATTTGTTTAAATTCCATGTACAATGTTAAGTACAGATTTAGATGAAGCATCTATAAAGCCCACTTTATTGTCTTATGAAGTATTTTACGGGATGTGTATAAAATAGATTTTTACAGTAGAAAAAGTATGGACCATACAAAAATTATACTTGATTTACTGGTTTTTATATTTAAATAATAAATTATAATAACGAGAAATATTAATTTCTATTTGTTGTACTATAATTCTAATTGTTTTTATACAATATTATTAATTTTTATGTAAATTGTTGGAGTAATAAAAATTTTTATTTACAAGCAACAAACTGAGAATTTACTTCTAAAAATACTGTTATATAAGGACCTAAAATTGCTTTGTTGATCGTTAGTTCAAATATTTTTATGTTACAAGCAACAAACTGAGAATTTACTTTAAAAAGATTAAAAGATATTAAGCACAGCACAAATTTTAGATTTTTACAACAATTGTACTTTATTACCAATTTACTTAGTGCATAATGAGATACGATGCCATTTTATACATTTAATTATCAAATTTAAATATAACTTGTAAAAAATGCTAAGCATATAATTATATTAAATATTCAATCCAAGCTTTTATGAAGATAACGGTTTTTACTTCATTTCATTGAACATATAACTGCAAAAAGAAATTGAACTTTAATTATTAAGCAGAGTCGCACATAAAACTTTGAAATAAATACAAAGATTTTATTTTAAACAATATAAACAATAAAATATAACTGTAAACTACATAATTTAGCTTATATTTATTAAAAATGTAGACAAATTTTGACAGTAATATACAGATATTTTTTATTTTTTAAATAAGTTAAGGAAAATTTTGAATATTTTAAATATTACTCTTTATTGTTAATTTTTACTGCTCTTTATACGAATCATGTAATGTAAGATAAGAATGTTTTTTTATTATATTATATCAATTTTATTTAAAATTTTAAGTAAAAGCAAAGAAAATAATAATTAATTTAAAAATTATTACATAACAATTTTCAGATTTACAGTATATAAATTTTTTTGATTTTTAACACAAAAAAATGCAAATAAAAAATTTTAAATGCTTAATTAACGCAAAAAACATGTACAGAATTTTAATTTCGATAACTAGATCAAATCGGTAAAGTAACACAATACATTTTATTTGCATGTGTGGTATTATTTTCATACTAAATTTTTACAATAAAACAGTAGTTTATTTTATTAATTTGAAACGTCACACACAATAGTGATTTAATTAAAATATTGGTACATTTCTAAAACAAGTATGCTCATTGGTTGTGCCCTTAAATTAAATAAGGAAATTAATTTACTTCAATAAGTCAAAGTGGTTCTAATCTCCGCAACATCTCGACCAATAAAACCCATTATAATAAAAACATCCTTTACTCGGTAATTTACCTGTCTTCTCGTAACATCATTGAATGCTATCCTGATAAGGGTATAATTCCTGGCAAACACACCAGCATGCTTTTCCTGCTGCTTCGTACAATGTAAAATACATTTACTTTTTCGTCGTGAACGTGATTTGTAATTAAATTGTAAATTTTCTTTAAAACAATTTAATATGTATTATTTTATCTTATAAATTTAATTATACTAACTTTTTTAAATGTAAATCCTACAAATTCAAATTAAAAATTAAACAATATTGCAATTTTTTTACAATTTGACTAAATAACTAAGTATTTATTAAAGCCCGGTTTTATAAACTAGTTATCAAAATTTTTACCTTGTAGTTTTATCAATTTAAAATTTGTGTATTTAAAATCGATAATCTTAGTTTAATGCAGTTCTATAAAGTTGATAAAAGAGTTTTATCTTAGTAATTTTAGTGTTAATATGCAAAATTTGAAAAAATTTGATTCCTAAACCTTAATATTTTTTTATATATTGGCAAACTTTTGCAAGTTTTTTTTAACAAATTTAAGCTGCTTTTTTTAATAAAATTTAATCTTTAAAAAATGTTACTTATTGATTAAGAATATTCTCTTAATTTGGTACCACACTAGAACGTCATAAAATTTTATTCATTTATCAAAATATATTTATGTTTTGGTAAAACTTATCTGGCATTAGCATCATTTTTATGTAGAATACAACTTATAATTAAGTATATATGTGTTCCTATTACAAAAATACCTTTTACGTTGTTTTCGACATTTAAAAAGCAAGCATAGTAACTTAAATGGTTTAAAAGTAAGTATAGTCTGGTTTTAAAAACTTAAACGCCAATCATCAAATTGTTTTAAAGATCCTAAAAATGAATTCTTTTCAAAATTTTAAAAATGCGAAAAGAAGTTTTCTTTGCTGATATAAAAAATTATATTTCTGTATGTTTATTTAAAGCAGTGAAAAAATAAAACTAACACTTTTTTTAAAAAAATTATATTTTTTTTATTTTAACTAAAATCTTTACAATTAATTTTTGAATTGTTGTATTAAATGTATCACTAGCTTTTTTTAATAATATTTTTTTATTTGTTTTGTTCTTTTTTTAAAATTAATCAAGCATTACAATACTTTATAATTAATTGACTTTATAGTTTCTATTATAATAGTAATTTGCAAACAACTGATATGTATCGCAATATCGAAGCATATATTTTACCTAAAAAGTTAATTAGATTGATTGATCTTACAAAAATTATTTTTTAAATAAATTTTTAAACTAAAAAAACCATCTTGTGTTGTATTTAATTTAAACTAATTACTAAAAGGCTTTTTTAATTTTATTTTTTTTTCTAATCTTATCTTTATAATTGACTTAAAACATATTTTACATCTGTAAGCAGACAATGTAAATCACTATTTTATAAAAAGTTGATTTAAAATTTATGAACTTACTAACTTACATTTTTTTTAACACCAGGTATTTATTGATAAAATTTTTTTATATTTCGATAGATGTAAGTTTATTTAAATCGTAAAATAAGACAATATCTATTCTTTTTTCTTTACAGGTCAAAATTTTATTAAAACATTATTCCAAATTGAATTATAAGTCATTGTCGTTGTTTATTATATTATTATTACAAAAAACAGCATAAAATTTTAGCACTGAAAAACATTTTTTTTTAGTTATAACTAATTTTTCCTAGATTGTCAAATATCAATAATTTTGTTTGTATTGTCAAATTCCTTAATTTTCGGCTCTTCATATTATCTGTTAGTTATACACTGTTATCTTTTTTTTAAATTTTTTAATCTTATAAAGTATTTTTTCGATTTGTTTTACTATGTTATATTGATTGTTAATGATTTTTTTACTGATATTAACAGGATAAAAGTAATTTTGACAAATAAACTTTATGCTTTTAAAAAACATAAGCATTAATTATAAAAAAGATTAATGTTTAAAGATTGTCACCGCATTTTATGATTTTTTTCTTTTAATAAATAAAAATATAAAAATTTATTAGACCATAAACTACTTCGTTTTTTTTGCAGTTTTATAAAAGTTTTTAATAATTGATTACAAAGGAAAGATATTAAACAATGAAAATAGTCAGATTTATGATTAAGTACTAATACAATAAGTTACACTAAAAAAATTTTTATGCGACCTAAATGTTAATATTTTTAATGATTAATACAATTTTTAACAAAACTTTTTAATTTACTTAAAATTTCATGTAAAATAACTTTCTCTTAAACCAACTTTAAAGTTTATAATTACATATTTAAATTAGTTCTAAAATTGTAATTTATTCTTTTTAAATATATAAAATAAAAATATTGTTAAGATTAATTATAAACAATTATGTTTTTACCACTTTTTTTTGAGTATAAAATTTATGTGAATTTTAAATTTTTTTTGTGCAGAATAAATGTGTTTTGTCTTTAAGTTCAAAACATTTATTGTTGATAGAATTAAAATATATTTTGTGGACAAAAGAAAAAAAAATTACTGTGGATCTCAGACTATAAATCATTTAACTGCCAAGTATGACTGAATGCTGGGTTTCGATTTTACAGAAAGATACAATGAGGTATTTATGTGCATTCATCTTTTACTGTGTTTTAAATATATTTTAAAAAGATAAAGAAAATACATGACACCAAGTGCAGACAATTGTGAAAAGTTGAAATAAAAGTGGATATTAAATATCTTCAAATATTAAGTTAAGCCATAATAAGCCTGACATCTATGATTTGACAAGAAGAAGAAAAAGATTTAATAGTGAAAGTTGATTTTACTCAACTAGGACAAGTCTCACTATGGTCAAAAATGAGAGGCTAAGGAAATATGATCTTTTTGCAAATGAACTGAGACTAATACCTAAATACTTTATAAAAATATTTATTATGTTCTAACGTGGTAACCAAATATTATAAAGAAGTACATCAGAAAGTTAAAAATCCAACCACACCTTGAAGCATAACCTTTAGTCAATTGTATTAAAGAAAATTTTCAGAGTCTATCTTTTTGAAAAGAAAACGAGTATATAACCAATGAATTTCTGGATAAAAAATTTGACTGGAGCTGTAAGTCTATAAGCTGGAAAGAAATCTTCCTGGAGAGAAGGAATTTTAGAGAAAAAGCTAATAATAAATTAATATTGCCTTTATGCTAAACAATATCACAATATTTAAAAATTGTGAAAAAATAAAACTGTTAAGCAATAGAGGTAATTCGTGTGCTGACGAAATCTTAAATTTATACAAACATGACTCATTCGATTATTGCTCTATCTTTCAAGCTTTCGTTGTAAAATAAAATAACAAGTTCTAGTATCTAGTTTTTTAAATAAAATATAATTCTTTTAATTTTTCAAAATTAAATTCTATTGCCTTTAAATATTTTTAATAATTTTTATTTTTTAATATATAAACAATTGGTTTTTTATCCCCTATGAAAATATGCTTAATTTATACATTAACATCATTTATTTATTCAATTAAAATTGTGCCATTAGTTCCACGTACATATTTGATGGATGAATTTGATTTGTCATCTGACTACAAAGTTGATTCTGATTTTTTCCTTAAATACTACGGTTGTTGTATAACACAAAAATTAATTCTAAACAAATTTTATTGTTTGATATCTAGAACTTGTGGGTTTTTTTATTTAGATTTTAGTAAAACTCAAAAAATAGTAACCAAGAAACTTTTTCTGTCAAAAAAAGATTTAAAAAATAATAATAAACAAGTTAATCTGCCTTTTTATGAGGTGTTACTTGGTCAAAATAATATTTTACGAATTGTGCTTCCTGTAATAAATACAATAAATACATCTGAATCTACGTCGGAAGTTTCATTTTGTAAAACCAATTGTTGCTCTAATAATTGTATACAATTATCATTTATTGAATATATCATTTTGAACAAAGAGAATATAATTAAATGCTCCAAAAAAATTATTAAAGATCTTATAAAAGGTCACGATTCTTGTATACGTTTTTTATTAGATAAAAAAGATTATATTTTAACTTTTTTTAGTAGAGATTTTGCATTGATTTTAAAGTTTTTTGAAGATTTTGTAAAGATCCTCGCTGTAGAAGACACCATTTTACCTGTTAAACTTTGTATTTTCTTCGATAGTTTTTTAAAAAATAATATGAATAATTTTTGGACAAATTTGCTCATTGATTCAAAGTTGGAGTTTGATTATTTTAAGAAAAATAGTTTGTATGATTGTTTTTTTTCTGACATTTATAATTTAATTAATTTAATAGAAAACTTTCAGTATAAGTTTACTTTTTTTGAAAAAAACAGGAGCAAAATTCTACTAAATGGTAAATCAATTATTTTAATAGAGCTTGAATTGCAAGAAAAATTTAATGAATCAACTTGTAATTTTGAGGTATGTGATGATTCATATAAAAAATTATATGTAGATTACATGACAAATTTTAACAAAACAACTATTTATTTCATGCTTAATAATTTTTCAGTTCAAATTTTTAATATTAACAGAATACACTGCGCCATTTTCATGCCGGATAAGATATACATGGCAAATAATATTGAAATTTCTCATTTACTACAATAAATTATTTTATTAATATACCAATTTGAACTGTGTTGGGCTAGAATGGAAAATGTGTATCAATAAAAACGGTTATTTGCAGAGGTTTTCCTGTTTAATTCAAATATTTATATATTTTATTTAAGTTTTTGCTTGTTTTATGTGGTTTTTTTGTAAAAACTAAAATCTCTCTTAAACCAGTTTAATTAAACTTAACAATAATATAAGATGATCAATAACACTATACACTTCTTAACTCAATTTTCTAGAATGCGTAATTATATGATTAGCCGCAATCATCACTTCACTATTCTCTTTTATCAATATCTTGTAAGGTTATCGCTGTTATTCCAGTTATCTGTTAAATTTACTTTCCCAATACCCTTGCCCTCCTTTCAAGCGTCTTACTACGAGTTTTAAGGTGTCTGTTGACAAACTGTAATTCACGAAATAACAATCTCTTTTTTGGCAATTAAAATTAAAAAAAGATATTGTAGTTGTCGTTTTTGCAAAACAAGAATAATTCCATATGTATTGACATGGGATGGTATCGTCACAAAATACCATGCAAAATACAGGAAGGAGCTTGCAATTTCTGATCAAATTGAAGCTTATATTCAATCGATCACTCTAAAGAAAACTCTTGAAAGTGTTTCGATGGAGTTCAGACGAGGAGCAGATCTGACAATTGAGGAACCTAGAAGGGAAGAGAATCTTAAACAGAAATTTACCCACATTGAAGTCATATTTTGCTAACATAAAAACTTATAACAAATTTAACCTTTAAATAAAAATATATCTTGTGGTTGTCGTTTCCACAGCTTACAATTTGTCAAAGTTGAAAAAAGCATAAATATTTTTATTGAATCGATCGAATAAATCATGGTTGTTTTGCATACCCATGCAAGATTAGATTACTTAAATACTGAAAAAGGAGGTCGATTAAGGAGAATAAATTAGTTGAAGAATTGATTAAATTCTAAAGACTTTTTCTCCAATTTTTTTTACAATACAGTACAGATAAATAAATAAGCTATAAACAAAGTTTTCCTAGATATAAAGACCAGAGAAGGTCTTTATTAATAATTATTATAATCTGTAAGCATATCTTCTGACTTTATAGTTTAATTTAAGACAAGTTTAGTAAAAGTCCTTATGGCGACTTTAAAAATCTAAAGCAAAAAAAAACATTGTTTAAGGACAAAAAGTTTAGGCATATGATATAAATATATAGAATAAATACGAAATTTTTGATAATTTTAAATTTCATAGATTATTATAAAAATGTTATTAAACTCATGTACCTTAACTTTTTTACTATGAAAATTATAATAATAGCTTAAACTGCGTATAAGAATAACAAATTGGTGATATAATTTTTTTGATAATTTGCAACAAAAAAGCTGATTACTCAATCATTAATTATTAAATAAATTTAACAAATTATACTTATAAGTAAATTCCACAATCTTTACTGATGTCGTTTTAATCTAATATCAAAATTTTACTCCTTTATCTGCCTGCTCAAAAAAACATTTTTAGAACTTTTTCTTATAACTTTCAACCTATCCAATTTAACTTAAATTAGTTTTTTTTTACGTCAAATCGAGCTATGATTTTACAACATATAGCTTTTGTACAAAAATAATCTTATTGTTTCAAAATCACAACATAGTACTATTTTCAGAAAATTAGTACATTTACCAAAAAATGATTATTTTTAAATCTATATCATAAATATAATTATTAGTATATTAAATCAATTAACTGTACCTGCCATAAAAAACAAACAGAACTCTACAGTAAAAAATTTATTAAAAGAGAAAACTATGCCTATATTTAAAGTTATATGTAAGAATTACATTTCACTAAAATAATAATTCAACTGTTATTGATAATTTTGTGGCCATGACTCTTTCTGCTATGATGTTAAAAATATTTGAAGGGGTTAAAATAAATATATTTATCACCCATTATTTTAATGGGTGAAAATCTTACAGCAAAAGAATTTGAAACATTATTCATCCAACATAATGATTACTTAAAGTTAGCAGAATTAATAGAGCCTTTGTTATCTAATTTTATATTTAAAAACAGAAGATATGATAGTTGGAATAATATCTTTAGAAAGTGTGAAAAAATCATGAATGCTATCTTTAAAAATAATTTTGAAAACGGGTTTCAATCTAAACATTTTACACCTGGTGAAAGTCGTTTATTAATATGTCTGTTTAAATTTTTTCAACGAATTCAAATGTTCTCTAATAATTCTATTGACATTCCCTGTAAAGACTTATTCTTATCTTTTGCATTATGTTTTGATATTGAAATTAGTATTCAAGCTTTTAAAGTAATGTCATTGTATTTGTACAAAGAAAAATTTTTAAAAAACAATACTTTACAGATAGAGATTTTACTTAAACTTGTTAATGTACCTGGATTAAGAATCAAAAAATATTTATACGATGACGACTATGTTTTAGCAAAAACAAATGCAATTTTTTTTAATGATCCATTACAATATTTTAATGAAAATAAGTTTGATCAGAATATATCAGATTTATATGTTGAAGCAAATAAACTTTTGTGTGACAATGAAGATCTTGTTTACATTATTAGGATTTATTCTCTTATAACTATGGGTGCTTCCATTGTTCGTCCAGAAGAGATATTAAAAACTTTAAAGGATAAAATTTTAAAGAGAAATAACAATAAGTTTATAGATAATGAACTTAAGTTTTTATTAGATGAATTTATTTTTTATTTATTAAGAATTGATTGTGACGAAAACATTATTAAACAAATAATTCAAGAAAATAATTTCTTAGAAAAGAGGCTTATTTATGACGAATTAACTCCATTTGAAAGCATTTCGATTTTTTCTAACATAAGTGAAATAAATTTTGATGTAAATTACAGTTTAACTAATACAGTTAGTAATCCTGACCTTGATTTTCAATATTTCTCAGGAATTTATAGTTTAGTTAAACGAGACACAAATGTTTTTTCAAGTTGTATAGATTTAGATAATTTTAAATCATTGTTGCTGCACTTTGATGAATATCATTCAAAAAAAGATAAATTTGTCTTAAAAATTATTTTTAAAATTATGAATGAGGTATATAAAAAAGGTAGTGCATATTTTGAACCTTTTGAAGAAAGTAAGTATTGTAAAAAATGTTTGTTTTTGATAAAAGAAAAATCTGAAGTATTTTCAAGTTTATGTATTGATACACTGACTTTTTTCATCAACAATGATCCACTTTCTATTTCCATTATTCCTCAATCTTGTATCTACGAAATATTTGAAAATTTTATAGCGTCGGAAGAAATGTACATAGCACTGCTTAACTTGTTTGATGCACTTTCTTTAAACAAAAATTTAAGTAAAAATTTTGTTGACACAAAGTTACTATCAAATTTATTAGAAAAAGTACTTTTGATTCAAGATGGTTTTTTTAATGGTTTTGGATCACAGTTTACTATATTAATTAAGCATCATCCACAATATGAACTTGAGCTAATTGATTTTATTTTGCTTAGTATGAAATTAAAATTACCTACCTCGTCTTTATTTAATTTTGTGAGCACACAAGAGCTTTTATTTTATCGGAGTATAATTTGGAATGGAGAAAGTGGTATTTTGAATGTTGTAGATACTTTATTTAAGAATAATTTTTTGACTAAACATATTTGGCAAGATTCTTTTTTTAATTTATTTACATCCGGATGTATTCAGATATATAATATTTCTGTAGAAGATTATGAAAATATTTTTAATTTTTACGCAGATAAAATTCTTGAAGGTTATAAAAATAATATTTTAGATCTAGCAGAATTGTATTTAAATTTGATATGTCATACAATATTAAACAGGAAAACGAGATTTAATGATGAAGATGATGAATCGCATTCCAATTTATCTAATATTTTTTATATTCTTACTTCTATTTTACCATCTATTATTTTAAAATTAGAAAGTTTTTCTGTTGTTGATTATTTTGAGGCTGGAGAAGAATATAAAAATGACGTTTATAAGTTAATTTGGCTAGAGATTAATTATATTTTTTTATATGTATGGAGAATGGAGAGTGTTCAAGAGAACAGAAATTGTTTTAATTATTTTTTAAACTGCATAAATTACAGAAATGATGAGATTTCTAAAAAAATTAAACATGAACATTCCTATGATGTATTAGATGATAATCAGAAGCATTTTTATAAAAATATTCTTGATAGTAATTTATCTAAGCTATCTACTTCTATTATTTACATTTTTTTTGATTGGCTGTTTGCCAATAATGTAATTGATCAAGAAATTTTGTGGTCTAAGAAAGAATTATGCATATTATTTAAGAGTTTAGAGGACAAACAATTAGAATTGAAAAATGAATATATTGAAAAACTTCTTAATTTTTTTAATTCATATGATACAGATATTTCTATCATTACATTTCTCGATAATATATTATTCTGTTCAGATTATTCTAATCCTAAATACATTGATAAAATTATTAATTTATACATAAAATACTATACCAAAGGAAATGAAATAAAATACAAGACTGTTTTATATGATGAAAAATTTTCAATCAGACTTATTGAAAATGGGTGTTTTAAAGCATTTATAGGTGCTCAAGATTTATGCATTAATTTTTTAAAAGGCAATTTTGTTGTCAATAATGAGTTCGTTGAGTTATGTACTACAACTTTAAAAGATTTAACATTTAAAAATGAAAAGTATATTTTTATAGAAAACGAGAAAATTTTACAATTTTTGAACTTTAAAAATATAAAGCCTAGAATAAAAATGGCTTTTTTACTATCATACATAAAATATATAAAGTCACAAGATCAGGAGATACACAATATTGAACCAATTTATAAATATATCATAAAAAAAATATCTATAAAAAATAATCAAACTACAAAGTTACTTATTAAATGTATACTACTTCATATATTTGATCATTCTAGAGATTTAATTGATTACAAAATAGATTTTTCGCCATCAAGATTCATATCTGCTAATTATCTTGCGGCGTATCATAATATACGATTTTTTAAAAAAGCATTTGAAAAAGTTATATTACATAATAATGTTGATATACAAAAGAGTGGGTTTTTAGATACGACACAGCATCTTTTTAAAATAATGATGAAAAAATCTACAAAGAATATTAATTGTTTAAATGTTCTTACAGAAATATTAACAAATAATTTTACATATGATTGTCTAATTAATAAAAAGTTTTTACGTACGATATCAAAAAGATATATTGAAACTGTAGATTTAGGATATAAAATAGATTTAAATAGTAGTTTTTATGTAGCATTAAACTTTTTTGTGCACTGTTTACAATCAAAAAATAAGAAGCTATCTAAGATGACTTACAAGGTACTTTTAAAGCAGATGATAATTTATAAAAATCACAAAATTTATAATTTTTTAGTTATTTTATATACTTCCCTGGGTGCTCCTAATATTATTAGGAGTGGTTATGAAACAGGTTTTTTTGAGAATGATAGTGACTTTTTATTGAGTGGCTATTTTATTAAAAAAGGCATTGCTAATATTTTTTTCGAAATTTTATCTAATGTGAAAGAAAAAGATCTAAGAATTATCAATTTTAGCAGTTGTGATGAAGAAAGCATTGATCAACTTGGTCTAAGCGCATGGAATAATATTAAAGAGGCTAACAAAGTAAGTTACATCTATTCATTTTTATCTCATTTATATGACAAAGAATATGATTATCTTTTAGATCTACAAGAAGAGGATGAAGAAGAATATGAAGAGGATGAGGAAGATTTTGATTATGACGAAATGTATATTCCTGAAAATCTTACACCTGAATGTTCATCATATGAAGACAATGTAGAAATAGAAGAACTGGTAGAAAAACCTAAAAAAAGAAGTATTTACAATTCTTTATATTCTGCATATTTTTTATGCGAAAAAGAATGCTACATTTTAGAAAATAAACGAATAATAACCTTTTTGGATAAATTAATTAGAATAATAAAAGATGAATACAAAATAGAAAATATAAATGAAGAATTACAGAATGTGGATAGTAATGTACCTATAAACAATGAAAACATTATTGAACTTTACGATGACGAAATGGATGAAATTTACTACAGTGAAGAAGAAGAATATAATTTTAATGACAATATCAATTTAGAGAATGAAAATTTTAATATAGATGAAGACTTCAGTGTCAGTGAAGAATCTATTTTAGGTATTGACAATGGTGTAATTCCTGATATACACGTAGATGATATCAATAATATGAATGAAGAAGAATTAGATGATTTTATAAAAAATTGGTATATTGAAAGAAAATCATCAAATCACAAGTATTTACCCATAGACATTAATTTCTTAAACAATTTAAATGAAACTGTTAAAGAAAAATTTGAGGAAAATGAAAGGATATTAAAAGATGATTATTTTGAATATGCACCTGATTATGAGGTGATTGAAGAATCAAGTAGTCATGTAAATGAAGATATTGATACTTTTTTGGATATTTCGATTTATGAGAAGTTTCTTGTATCTTACCTTTCTAAAGACTTTTCTTTGAAAACGGAGTTAACAGATATTTTAGAAATATTGTGCTTTAATTCAAATTTACGAAGTTGTACATTTAAAATTATTAAAGAAAAGATTGAAGATTTTACAAATGCAAAAAAGTGTATAAGAATAGTAAAAAGCATGTTATTATCTTCTAAACATGAAATAGAAAAAGATTTTGATCTTGTTATTGCTCTCATCAAATTTTCTTCAATACAAGAATATCATGAAAATGCTTTACAGATATTATCAAAACTGAAAATTAGCAATAGTTTTTCTAACTTTCTACATAATTTGTGTGATGTTACATCTGTAAATTTAACAAGCAGATCTTTAGAACATTTTAAAACTTTCTGCAAGAATAATTTTAAACAAAACATCCTTGATTTTATTTATATTTTACTAAATAATTATGAAAGAAATTTATCATTATTGGTTGATTTTACAGTTTTGTATCATCAGCAAACAATGAATAATTTTAAATTAACAAGAAAAGTTTACTCACATGACTTTAATGTATTGCATAAGCTTCGCAAATTTGATGAATCAAGTGACATTTTCTTTCCATGTCCGAAAATATTTGAAAAGTTAGATAAAATTTTTACAAATCAGTTATTTGATTATACACATTTAACTTTATTTGGATTGTATGAAGAATTTATTAATTGGCTGTCATTTTTTAATATAGAAAATAAAAGAGAAATTATTGATAAATTTATAGTAAAAAGATCCAATTTAACGAATATAATTTATGAAAAACAAGATGAAATCAATTCGACGCTACAAACAAATGATATTATTATTTTCTTCTTATCTAAATTTAAAGTCTTAAGTTTTAAAAACAAGAAGAAATTTCTTATTTCTAAAATGAATTATTATGAAGCAGGATCGTTTATTATTACCGTTAGAAGAAGTTCAATACTTAATGATTCTTTTTTTCAAGTAATGAGAAAGTCATCAAAAGAACTAAAAGCAAAAAGAATACAAATTAAATTTTCTGGTGAACAAGGAATAGATTTTGGTGGATTAACAAAAGAATGGCTTGAACTTGTTATGCAGGAAGCATTAAAACCCGATCAAGGTCTTTTTGTTTATTCATCGGATAAGCGGAATTCTCTACACCCTTTTAAAAATAGTAAAATTGATCCGGATCATCTTTCATTTTTTAGGTTTATTGGTAGAATGCTAGCTAAAATAATAATTGAAGGATTTAATATTAGTATACATTTTGATAAATCTGTGTACAAATATTTATTAGGTCTTAAGTGTACCTTACAAGATTTAGAAGAGATTGATCCACAATTTTACAATTCATTAATGTGGATTAAAAATAATAAAATTGAAAATATTCTTAACTTAACATTTTCTGTTGAAAATAATAATTTTGGTTTTAATGAAATTATAGATCTAATTCCTGAAGGTCGACAAGTTTTAGTCACTGATGATAATAAAAATGATTACATAGATTTAGTTGTAGAAAATAGATTGATTAAAAGTGTAGAAAAACAACTTAATGCTATGAGAGAAGGATTATTTGAAATGATTGATGAGGATATTATTTGTATTTTTAATGAAAAAGAATTAGAGTTATTAATTTGTGGTATACCTGATATAAATATTGATGACTGGAAAAACAATACAGAATACATAGGATACACTAGTCATTCTAGAAACATTAGTTGGTTTTGGAAGGCAGTTGAAGGATTTACACCTGAAGAAAAGGCAAAACTTCTGCAATTTTGTACTGGATCATCTCGTGTACCTTTTGAAGGATTTAAGAATTTACAAAGTACAAATGGATATCAGAAATTTAGTATTAATAAAATATCTACAAATAGGCTACCATCAGCACACACATGTTTTAATCAATTAGATTTACCTGAATATACTAGCTATGAGGAGTTAAGAAAAAATATTTTATATGCTATAAATGAGTGTCAAGGTGGATTTTACATAATTTGATGTTTAAAAACAAATCTTACTTTAAAATTAAATGAAATTTTTATATCGTATTTTGTTTGTATATCAACAAATTTCTATGTTTTGTGAGATTCATGATTTTATTACATTTTAAATATTTATATTTTCACATGTATGTAATATCTGCAATGATACAGAAATAATTTTGACAAAACATTATTATTTGTTTAAAAATATGTTTAAATTTCAAGTTCGCCTTTTCCTGTAAACAATAAAATAAATCTTTTATTCATTTATTTTTTTTTATAATTAGAAATAGATACAGAAGAGATTTTTATGCGCTTTAAACCGGGGATGCCCGGGGAATCCGGCCTGTGGCGAGGTATCTCTGTATAATACTCACTGTTTTGCCGTTTGTTCCATCCGGTCCTTAAAATAAAATTTATTTCTATTGTATAATAATTATTTTTATATTTCCTGTTCTCACTTCCTAAGATGTTTTCATTTGGCATAATTTATGATAATTTTTTTATTTATGGTTTTTTATAAAATATCTAAACCAATAAAAAACTTAATAATAATTGTCATAAAGAAAGCGACCAATTTTTTACTTAAAAGGTTGTGATCAGAGGTTTTGTCCAAATTGTCTTTAACAATTGGTTATTAAAAAATGCATGTGATTATTGACAATAATACCTCATAAATCTACAAAAAAATGTCTTTTGGTTTTTCGACAAAAAGTGTAGGAAACAATAACACATGTAAAAATTTTATATTTATATCAAAAAAAGCGAAAAAATGCATATACTTTTGGAAACTTTTATAGTATTATATAAAGTTTGTATATCTTCTTTGTTTATTTTTTAAATTCAATTTTAATATCGCGATTTGTGTTTTTGTATATTTGTGATGTTATGTTTATCAACTATTTCTTTAAAAATTAATGCATTTGTGTAATAACAAAACCATCATTAATAATTTAAAGAATAAAATAGTTTCTTAGTGACATACATAAATATTTGAAGATTTATTTTGCATATAAATGCACCAAATTTTCTTTTTATTAACCAAAATTTTAAATAAATCTATTGCATTTGTACGCTAATTATTATGACTTTAATTGAAGAAGTTATATTTCAAAATGTTGTATATTTTCTAGTCATCATAAACTTATATTGTTCATCAATATAAAATTGTACAAAATGACATTTAAAGTATTCTCTATTTTATAAAATACAATAAATCTCGATAAATTAGCAATATTGTGCTGACTTAACATTTTAAAACGTTAAAAAAACATCAAAATTTTATGATATTTCAAGTTATGTTTAATAAGGAACTTTTATGTTTATTGTCAATGATAATTTGTAATTTAAATTTTTTTATATATATGAAATACAAAAACTATTGTGTATGAATGAAATAAACACAAGAAGAAAATCTCATGACATTTAGTAGATGGTTTTGGTGTATTTATATTTAAATAATTTAAAATAATTTAACTTCTTGTTTTATTCCTCCATGTTGTAAAATTGTTTTTATTTTTATCAAAAAGTTGTGCATATATTATATTAAATATTATAAGTTATAATAATTTAAAAATTTATGTAGACACAAAACTTTTTTGTTTACAAAATAAATTTGTTCCTCTTCAATACTTATAAAAAAATTTCTGAAAAATCCGCCTTTTTATACAACAAATACAATATTTTATTTTATCAAAAATAATCAGTTGACTTATTTCTCAAATGACTACAACAAAAATATAATTTTTAAATCATTAATTGTAAATAAAATAAATTTAATTAAAATTTATTTATATTTTCCTCTTTATTTACATTATATTATTTTTAATCTTACAATACATATTATATAAAATTATAGGATTTAATTCAATTTTTTGTGAACGTATATCAAAATTAATCGCATCAATTAATGACAATTTTTCGCTTTGCCTTTCATTCTGAAACCAGACATTAATCGTTTTAACTTTAAGGTTAAGCATTATACTGAGATCCATTTTTGTCTGTGATGAAGGGTACATTGTTAGTTTGAAAACTTCTTTTAATATAAGACTTTGAATACGTGATTTTTTACATCTTGAAGAATTGTTGTTTTCATATCCATTTTTTAACAAACAAAGTCCTAATGCAGCCTGAATTTGACATTCCTTCTCAATCAGCTTTTTCATACCCCTGAGATATAAAACTTACGTAAAATTATTAGATAAATTAATTTTTTAAAATAAATTTGTTGTCTTTTAAAATCACAAAAAAGATTTCTTTTTTACATTTTTACAAAAAGTTTTTTATTTCTACTTTTTTAATTTAACATAAATTATTATTGATATGTGTCAAAATATTTTTTAGTCTTTCTAAAAAAGTTTAATTGGTTTCAGATATGGTAAATTTTTTAAAAAAAATTATTTTGATCTCAATTTTATTGACATGTTTTTGTAAACAAAATTTAATATTTTGATTAAATTTTACAATATGGTTGGCTGTTGTTAAAATTTGTTGATTAAAGAAATTCAAACAAATTTTATAAAAATTTTTAACTAGTAAATTAAATAATTTAAATATACAACCGCCATTTTTTAACTTAAAACTAGGTGACAATTTGTGATTTGTTTATTTTACATAAATTTATAATTTAATAAATTTATTAGTCTAGTAAACTTTTTAGTAAAATATTTATCGATTTCTTTTCTGCGCAAAGCCAAATCCTTATTTTAAATAATTTAAAAAGATCTTTTAACAATTCTCTAAAATCTATCCTTTTGGAACTTCTAAAATAGAATGTGATCTTCTTTTTATCCCATTGATATTCACAACTTAATATTTCCATATTAATATTATTGGCTGTAACTAAATCTCTACACTTTTCCAAGCTGTCAATTTCATCCTGTTCCCTTGTTACAAGATCATAAATATCTTCATCTGTAGCGTATCTTAATATTTTTTTGGCTTCAATTTCGTTAGCAGCTTCTTTTAATTTATGATATATGAAATTAAATCTACTTTCTGATGTTATACCCAGTATTTTACCACAATCTTCTCCTCTATCTGCTTCTAATATTACATAAGCATTTGGCTCATAAAGATTACTATCATAACCTACATCTAATCTTCCACTTTTATATTCTATAACAAAGTAACACACTTTAGGTAAAAAGAAGTTTTCGTTAAAAAATTTATCGAGTAAAATTTTTAATTTATCATTTTTTAATGCTACTTCTCTTGGATGTTGTATAAGTTGGCTCCCTATTGTTTTCCATGAAATTCGTCTTTCATCCCATGTTTCATCATTTTCAGACCATACTGCTGGACAATGCTGTACAAATGTATACAAATATCTCATTGATTTACAATTATTTTTCTTTTTTATATTTATTTTTTTCTAATGTTTCTCTTGTAATCAATAATTTTATTTGTTTAAAATTTGTAGTAAAGTTTGTTGGTTAAAAAAGATATTAATTTAATGAAATTGCAGTGCTAAAAATGTTGAAGATTTTGAAACAGTTATAAAAAATATAACCAAAACAGATGTTATAAAAATCTATAACTTTGTATTTAAAAAAATGCTTAATTTTAATATTTGCTTGATAAAAAAACATTAAAATTTTCTTAAGAGGTAGTTTATTAATATTTTAAAGTTTAAAAAATAATTTTGTTTAAAATCAACTTTCAGATTACAAATTAAGTTTAAAATTTTTTTGTTGAGGTCTTGTTGTTAAAAAGACGACAAATTTATTAATTACACTACATTTTACTCAAACATATCAGCGTAAATAGATTATTTATGTTTAAAACATAAAATAAATAAAATTTAATTTACGCTTTGAATTTTAATTAATTATTATAAAAGTGTATTATCTTTATTAATGTTAATTTTAGACAATATTTTTTTAGTTACGTACAGATAGATGAATAATGTTAAAAAATTAATTGTCAAAACAAATTAGCATAACCAATAGAAAATAATACCTACTAAAAAATCAAAGCAATTTATTATTGGTATTTTAAAATATTTAATTTGGTTTAATAGTTGAATTATGAATTCCGATATATTGTTACATATATTGCCTAGATTGTCAAAGCAATCTTTTTTAAATTTATACAATCAAGATGTTTATATTCTTAATAAAACAAATTTAAATTTGCTAATGGAATCTTATAAGCACAAAATATATTACATGAGCACTAGGAAATTATTTTTACTGTTTAATTTTGCTTTGAAATATAAAAAAAATATTTATGTCGACGAATGTATTAATAGCCTTCCTGAATCTAAAAAACTTAGTTTATTAATTTATTGTAAAAGAAATGTGGATGTAAATATGATAATGAATAAATTAACCGTAAATTTGTGGAAATGTAAAAGTAGAAATAGAGTAAATTTTTTTGTCGAAAACTTAAATCTAAATAAATAATTTTACAAACATTCTGTTTCTAAAAGTTAAGTGTTTGTTTAAAATCTAAAACATTAAGTATACTAGTTTTAGATATTAAAAATTTCTATTAAAAAATAGTTAATATTATATACTTTTAGAAAATGCGCAAACCCATCCATATTTGAAAATAAAAACAAATTATAAAAATTATTCATATCGTTAATAATTTTTTTAATCAAACATTTTAAAGTGTTTTTAAATAATGCGTCGTTAAATATTGTAAATTTATATTATGCATAAGTAAAATTGCGATAATTCAAGATGTTGAAAGAAAAAAATAATAAAGTAATATTATTTTGTTAAGTAAAAAATATTTTTAATTATTGTGCAATTTTTTACACTATTTTCACAATTTTATATTTAACCCTTAATGTTTGAATCTGTTATTTTGATTGGTCCTGGAACAAATCTTTTTCCAATTGTTAATTCGTCTCTAAAAGCTACAAATCTGCCAATTTTAAATATTGAACTTTTACTTATAAATATTCAATTCTTAGAACCAGTTAGTTCTAAAATATACATTGTTATTCTTAAAGAAGATGTAGATAATATAAGACATGTTGTTAAAAACATTACTACTCCTTTAGAAATAATAGGAATTGATTTTTACGATGGAACGGTAACACAACTTCATAAACTTCAACAAAAAATAAATTCAGAAAATATTATTGTCACTAAAGGCAATTTGGTTACTAACATTGATATTAAAACTATAGCTAATGAATATTTGGATAATAATGATCTTTTTATGACTATTTTAACAAATAATCAGGAAAACACTGTATGTGGCATTAAAGGAAATGAATTAATACATTACAGTGATTTTGATGATTTGAATATTTCAAAAGATATTTTGATAAAAAACAGATTTGTAATGACTCTTGAAAAGCATCCTTTGCAATTTTATATGTTTAAAAAAGATATATTAAAATACATAACTTCAGATATGTTTAGTTTTAGATCAAACTTCCTGCCTGCTATAGTCAAAACACTATGTAACATTAATCCTGTTAAAATTTTCGATCCTATGAATACTTACATATATCAAATTAGAGATGTTGAATCTTACATTTTTACAATTAAAAAACTCAAATCAATAAAACACAATGAAAATGGTGATGCTATTTGTTCTTATGATAAAATAAATTTATGTAAACAATACATTAAGAAAAAAAATATTAAAGATACAAAAAACATTTTAGGTACATCTTTATTTATAGATAGTGGGTTTATTATTGACAGCGTTATTGGAAATAATGTAACAATTAATGAAGGTTCTTATGTTGTTTCTTCTATTTTGATGAATAATATAATAATTGGAAAAAATTGTCACATTGAAGAATGTTTGATAGGAAATAATGTTACGATTCCAGATAATACTACTTTGATAAAATGTAATGTATCTCCTGCATACATTTTTAGTACCAATGTAAATGCAAAGAACAATATTTTTACTTGTTCATAAAAAATTAACTTAAAATTTGTCAAGAAAACAAGCGGTAGTGTTTTATGTTGAATTTAATATATTAGTAATGGAAATTTGAAGAATTATAGCCTATTTAAAATATTAGATTTTAATCTTATTATATTTATTTATGGCTAGTATTTATTGTATAACTCATCATTCTTTATATGTACTATTTCTACTGCTTCTCCGTTAGTGCTTTTAGTAATCTCATTTTTATTTAAAAGTGCTATTCCAATAGCTAATATTGCAAAATTTAAAATCTCAATGCAAAGAATTTCATTTTTTTTAAAATCGTGTGTGCATAAATTTATGTACTTGAAAATACCTGGTGCCATTACATTGGCACCTCTTTGTATAGGAGATACGGCACCTGCATCTAAATATATTTTTGGAATTGTAAGTAAATTATTTTCGAGGCTCTTTATTGTAGGAATATATTTATTATTAAAATAAAATAACAGAGCTTTATTAGATTCTAGTATTAAATTCGCTCTGTTTTTTAATTTCACCAATGAATAATCCACATTTTTTTTCAATATTTCATTATCACAGATTTTATTAATAGTTTTTTTATCTTTTTTACTTAAAATAGATGAAGATATAACCTCTATCTTTTTAAATAAAGATTTCATATGGGGTATAAATATTAGTACTAGTACTTCAAAATTTTTGTGCACAGACAGATATGAGGTTATTAAAATATCAATATATATAAAAAGTTTGAATCTGAATATTTATTTTTATGTAATACCTATCAAAATATAAATTGCATAATGAATTTAATCATAATTTTACCAAAACCTTTTTTGATTAAATGCTTTTATTTGTTTATTTTCTAACAAATTATTTTAAAATTATTTTATAAATTTAAATTCTGCATAAATATGAAAAATCATTTAAAAGCTTCATTTTTTATAGCTTTTAGTATGACGATTTTAGTGTTATTATATGAAGAAATAGCCTTAACATTGTTTAGTTCAGACCTCAATAATGATGGATTTGGGGTGCCTAAAAGTTCATTTACTTATAAGTTAGCGAGTGAAGATCCTCTGTATAGAGTAAATATGTTGATTGCAGTATCATCAAGACTAAGCACATTACATGATAAATTATATAAAATTGGAATTTATACATCGATTGGATGTTTAATTTTACTTGACACACCAAGATTGCTAGTACATAAACTATGTAACAAATCAGTAAATTTTTATACTGAAACATATTTTAATATAAATCATATACAATTAGCCATTGCAAACCTATTTGTATTTTTATTTACTATATTCTATCTTTCAGAGTATGTAGAAAATATTTTAGAAATAACTAAATATAATTGGGTTAGTAAAGTAGGAACATATTTTGTACTATACTCAATAGTTTGTCCTGCATTTGTTTTTATTGTTTTTCTTCTATTAAGAACTTTTGGGGCCCAACTAATTTTAGCAATTTACATTTCACTTATTTTAAAAAATTTTTATGAGATATTTATAGAAGATGATGTTTCATCGACATTAAAGCAGGTTTCTAAAAATCGATTTTCTAAAACTGTACAGGAAAAGCTTATAGAGACAAAATTAGATAAAAAGGTATTTTTCGACACTGATAAGTCTAAAGATACAAATGCTGCTTTAGTAGGGATAGAAAATAGTGCGAGAATAGAAATATATGGAGATTTTGATAATCTTGATGAAGAACAAAAAGACTCGATTTTGCTTCATGAGATTGGCCATGCTATCGATCACAGTCTTCTTAAAAAACTTTCTGTTTATTTTGGAACTTATTTTATTGAACTAAGTATTATGATTTTTCTCTATGGTAAAGCAGCGAAGGCTTTTGAATGTGAAAAAATAAATAGATATACAGCATTTGTACTGCTGTCTATTGTATATTTTTTATCCATGAAAGATTGGATAATGATGTTCTATAAAATGTCTTCACAGCGTGCAGAAATTGCAGCGGATCTATTAACGAAAAGTTCTGGGTTTGGAAAAGAATTGGCTTTGTCTTTATATGATATTTCTACATCCGAAAAATCATATATTAGGCCTACCTGGTTATATAATGCACTTCATGCTGTCCATCCCTCAATTTATGATAGAATAGAATATTTAAATAAATAAATTTTTGTACATTTTTGAACTTTTAGTTTAATTTAAATAACAAAACATATTTAAAATTTGTTAATATAGCTAAGCTTATATGTGTCACAATTAGATATAGTTGTGGCAAGAAACCCAGGAAGGCGACCAGAACTAAGAAAGTTCTCCACAATGCTCGCTCCTGAAGCCAAACTAAATTGGTGTAACTTAAATGGTTTATTAACTTCCTGGGGAACTGTGCCCTTGTGAGATCTCTGTTGACCCTATAATTCTCTTGCTATTGATGCTTATGTAAGTTATTTATGACAGCGATGCCCTACTTTTCATAAAATATTTTTATACTAAAATTTCTTCAAGAAAATTCAGAAAATAGAAAACATTTCATGTGGAATTAATACCACAATAATATATAAGTTTATCTATATTCAGTAAAAAATACAAAATTATTTTAATAAGAACATCACTGTAATTTGCAGCCAACATATTTTTTATTTGTGTTTGCACGTTAAAAAGAATATAAAGAAGGGATCTAACGAACTGACACTTTCAAAAAGAATTAATCAAAAAATAAATAAATTATTATTCCATATATATCAAGAAATAAAGCTTAGAGTAAAAAATTATTAATATAAACTACTTTAATGCTTTTACAAAAATAATACGATAATATAAAGTTTTATAACAAAAAAAATTTGCATTCTATTACTTTTTTGTTATTTTTCACCCATGTCCAGTGTAACAAAACAAAATGCCACTACTTATAGTGCGGAAGGAAGATTATATCAGGTTGAATATGCCATGCAAGCTATGAATTTGGGAACTGCTAGCATTGGCATGAAAACAAAAGATTATGTTTTACTAGCTTCTGAAAAAAAAATCATATCTAAACTACAGAACCCCGCTAGTGTTAAAAAGCACTTTAAAATTTATGATCACATAACACTTGGATTTTCTGGAATATCTGCTGATGTAAAAACTATTGTGGAAAAAAGTCGAGATTTTGCGATAAATCATGAATATTTGTATGACGAAAATTGTAAAGTCGAGAGGTTGTTGGAAAAACTTGCAGATTTAAGCTTAAATTTTGATAAAAAAGACGATTGTAAGAAGATTTTTAGTAGGCCATTTGGTGCTTCTTTACTTATTATTGGATATGATACTGAACCTAGGCTTTTCTGTCTCGATCCTTCAGGTTCTTATTTAGAATATTATGCTAAGGCCATAGGATCAGGCAGTGAAGTATTAGAAAATATGTTGGAACAAGAATTTGATCCTAGTCTGGATTTAGAAAATGGGCTTAAGCATATTTTAAACATGTTGTCTAGAGTAATGAAAGAAAAAATTTGCTGTTCTAACGTAGAAGTAACTGTTATTACTAAAGAGGGAAGTAAACTTTTAAAACCAGAAGAGATTGAACAATTTTTATAATTAAATCGTATTGTACTAATTTTTATCAAGCGGTGAATTTCTGCATTTTATGATTTAGTGATTAATTTTCACGTCTCCTTTAATTTATTTTTTATTAGCTGTTTAATAAAAAGGAGATTTAAATTTATTGCAAATGGAATAAAAATAATGAATAACACTAAGCTAAGAATAATTGCAGATAAAGATATATTTGAGTCTGACGAGTTTATTACTGGAAAGTTATCTTTAAAGTCTCGTATTCCTTTGCCAGTAAAAAAAATAAAGCTGAATTTTACAAAATCTCGAGTAATGGAGGTTTGTAAAATTGAGACATCTGGTAAAAAAGGTATAAAATACAGTAATAATAAGAAAGAATATTCATATGATTTCGATATTTACACTTCTCGTAACGAGTTTGATAATTTATCTAGTGGTGCACATTTATTTCCGTTTAAATTTTTTCTTAAAAGTACCGATAGTTCGACAACGGACATTAAAGGAATTTATTTTGATTATCTAGTAAATATTAATAATTCTTATACATTGACAGCCTCTTTATATTTAAATGGTGCTTCAGAAGCAATATATGAAACTACTAAGGATGTACAAGTGGTAGAAGTTTTTGACAGAACAGAACACTTTCAAACAAAATTAGAAGTATCTACAATGTTATGTTTATTGTACAAAACATATACTTTAAAATTTTTTCTTAATAAACCTTTATATTATTCAGGTGATAGATTAAAATTAGATGTACAAATGAATCGATCATTATTAAAATTAATTGATAATATTGAATGTAATTTATATGAAGTGATTAATGTACATTCTCCTGAAATTGATATTATAAGAACTAGATACGTGGTTGGAGGAAATGCGATATTGGAGAAAAAAAGGTATGCGCTAAGTTTAAATATTCCTTCTACTACTCCGACATGTGTAAATGAAGATATGTTTGGCTTAAAAATATTAATGTTTATTAATATTACATTTAAAAATAGTGGACCTATAAGAATTAGAAAATATTTACAGGTTGTAAAACGAAAAAATGAACTACCAGATATAGAAAATCTCGATGTACTAGATGGTGAAGTTTTTAATGAAAAAATTTTCTTATTGACATAAATAAAATTGTTGTGTTATTTTTATAGTTATATCGAAAAATATAAATTTATAAACATTATGTACACAAAAATCATTTTTATATTACATTATAATATTAACAAGCAAATGTTCTGTTTTTGTGTCTTTAATTTAATTTTGATAATGTATTTTAAGCTATTACACAATTAATAATCAATTTAAAGGTGTAAAAAAGACAACATTAATATTTAAAATCAAAAAATGTTATTAAGCTTTATATTGTCTTAATTGTTTATTAAAAACCTAAAAATATTTTTTTCAGGCAATTTGTAAACATTTTGTCAAAAAGTTATAATTTTTTTTTTAAATTGAAGAAATCTAAAATTTTGTGCAATTTATTGCTAAAAATTAAATAAGCCATTGTTGTAATTTTTCAAAAAAAATATTAATAATGCCTTGAAATTTTAATTTTTTTTATACAATAAATCAATGAAAGTTTTAAAAAATTTAATAATATTTACGTAGTACATCTCTAAGAATATTATATTCTTTACTATATTTGCAATCGGCTTTATAAACAGTCTCAATACATAAATCCTTTAACATCTTACTTCCATCTAAAATAGTTAAAATTCTTTCTTCTGACAAAGAAGCAATAATTTCTACCGATGAACTTTTTAAAATTTCTAGACATTTAATAATTCCTGTTTTTAATTTAGAATTTTGTAAAGCATTTTTATTTATAATTTTATACAAAAAATTAACAGTAAAATTTCTCAAATGTGGATATTTTTTGTATGTTAGTATTAATGTCCTTATTATTAAGGCAGGCATAGAATCTTCTATAGTATTGAGTGTGTATATAAAATCATTTTCGTTAAATGCAGGAGAATCAAAACAAAGATCAAGAATTTTTATTCCTTTTGAAATGTTAGACATTTCATGCGCATAAATTAAGATGTCTGTGGGTTTTAAAACAAATAAAAAATATTCAAGCGATTTTTTATCGATGAGAAAATCTTCTATGTAATTTACGACGTCAGATTTGTCAAAGTAGATGAACATTTTATACACAAGAGCTGGTATATTTTTATATCTCGTGATAATATAGTTTTTAAGATTATTTTTTAACTGTCGGTTAGTTAATAAATAAGAAACCAAGTCAAGATCTGAATGCTTGATCAAAAAATTTATAATAAAGTCCTCATCTAGCATTTTAAAAATTGAATAAAAGCGCTGTTTCTGTTCACCATCTAGAGACATATCATATATTTCGTACAATAAATCAGGTTTATCAGAAGCAATAGAAAGTAAATCTTCTATGTTTAGATCAAACTTATAATGTTTTAATATTTCGTAATGTTCAATATACAGTCCTGTAAGGTGTTTTTTACTTACCTTATTTTTTAACACTTCGTATAAGTCATTTACAAATATTGGCTTATTTACTAGAAAATATTTTATTAATTCAATATTCTCGTCCTTTAAATCCAACTTTACAAGATTTATATCAAAAAACAATCTTATAATTTCTACCCTGTAAAATCTTTTATTCTCATACAGTACATTTAATAAACTGTTATAAAGTGTTTTATTGAGTAGATAAATGTACTCTACCAAAATACTAGGTTCTTCCTCAGTCATATGGTAAAAAATAAAATCCAATATGTCTTTGGGGTCAGTAAGGATAGTACAAATATATTTAACGTATAAATTCCGCTGTTTTAATTCAACTATATAAATATTATTTAATAATTTACTTGTTACATCCACAGATACATTATCAAATGATACAAAGTTGAAATAACTTTCTATGGAATTAGAAATTTCTATTGTAGATGTTTTAATCAGTAGCTCATATAAATTATTTACAAAAAACAAATTACTATCAAATTTCTTTTCGTGTAAATATTGTGCCTTTAATTCTTTAGCAAATTTAAATAGCTTTAAATTTTTTACATAAAAAATATATTCTTTAGAAAGTAACTTTGCAATTTTCTTATTAACTTGGTGTATGTGAAAATTTAACGATTTCTGTGCATATCTTGGAAAATGAAGTGGAGTATCCTGTAAATCAAAAATAAATCCTAGTACCAGTAGAACATTAGATTCATCAAGCAAATTTAAAACACAATTCCAAAAATACATAACTTCTATAGGATTCATTTGATGATAGTAAAAAAACAGAATGTACAAATTATTTTCTGTAAAATTTACGAGTAACATATTTTTTATTGTGTCCATGGGGGAGAAATATTTATTTTTTAAATATAATTTATTTTGTATTTAAAAAAATATGCGAACATTAACTTGTATAAAAATTATTAAATTCTTCAGGTAAAAGACATGTAAACATTTTACTCTAAAAATTATTAAATTTAAACGAAATACAGGTTTATGTTTGAAAAATCTACTAAATGCAAAGCTAATTATTTAGAGAAATCGTTTTTTGAATAATAAGAAAATGATAAAAGTTCGATAATATAAATAAGACGAAATTTACTTCTATAATGTTCTTTTTTAAAACTTTGTATGCAATACAAAATATAAATTTGCTATTTTCGTGTATTTTAGATCTAAAGTTGATAACAATTTAGTTTACATTTTCTTTGTAATAATATAAATTTTTGCTACCCTTTTAGTTATGGAAGAACTTTATAGCAATGATATTACAGAAATTAAGACTGAAATAACTGTTACAGAGGATAAAAAAAATATTGATTTTTTTATAGTAAAGTTAGAATTACTACAAATATATCTTTTGTGTTATACTTTATACAAGGAAAATTATAATGAAGATATTTTGGAAAAACTTATTCGGATAACAAATTTACTTAAAAAATGTAAAATTATAGAAGAACACATTGACATATTAAATACCATAAAGGAAGAAGAGCCAGAAAGACGAATTTTAGAAAATGTTATGAAAAAAAAATCTAAAAAAAGTAAAGGAAATAATCCTCGTAAAAAATTTAAAAATCGAAATGAACAAATGGCTGATAAATGCAATAAAAAGTACGATGGAAAAATAAATTAAAATGTTTTTTAATATAATTTGCACATCTTTTATAAATTATTTTTATTTAGTCTGTTCTTAAATAGTAGAATTATGTAAAATAAATCCAAATTGTGGCATTAAGTTTTCTAATTCGCTTGTTTGTTGATTATTTAAACTTGGACCTTCAATATTTAGTATTTTATTAACAAAAAACAAAATTACTTTATCATTTTCGAGAACGGGTATTACGCCCTTAAAAATAATTTCATAATAATCTGGTAATTTGTCAATAATCCTAATAATTTCCATTAATTTTTTAGATTTACTTTGTGTACTTGTTAAAAAGTTCTTAAAAACACTAATCTTTTTTCGTAGAATATTATTCAAAATTTGACGCTTTATATCGTCAAAGTCATCAGTTTCCGATTGTAAAAATTTATCAAACCTATTGAGCTCTAAAAAATACTTTTCAATGTCTTCTGATTTCTCAAGTGTTATATTTTCCGAATCTGTTTTAATTATATTTAAAACCTTATGATTTACTAAATACATCTCGTTTTTATATAAAATCTTTCTTATTTTAATATAAGAATCATAAAGCTGGTTTTTATCTATAAAATTATCAATAATATCTTTTTTTAATGATTTCAGATTTACATAATACACATCTTTGACTTCTAATTCTAAATCATCAGGTAAAAGATTAGTATATTTAAATATCCAAATATCAATAAATTCAAAATTTGACTCGGAGAAAACCAATTTAATTTTTTGGAATAAATAAATAATGCAATTTTTTTGTAAATCTTTATCAAGATGAATTATTGTTTTTAAAAAAAAGTAATTAATCTCCTTTAAATAAATACCCTTATTTGTAAATGGCATATCTAAGCATTTTTCTTTAAAATTTACCAATAAAGTGTTCATAATTTTTCTATCTGTTTTAATTTCAGCTACTTGAAAATATAAGTTAAAAATGTATAACACTTCCATATAATTATTCTTTTCATCAGTAATCTGTGCGTATAATTTTTCTAAAAATTGTATTGTTATGTCTTTAATTGAATTCCATATGTTCTGCATAAATTTTGAATTTTCAACTTCTTTATACTGAAGTTTAGCTTCTTTATAAATTTCAACAAATCTTTCTTGTTTATCAAAACTTCCCGATAGTAAAGATTTTATATTAAAAAGTGTCTTGTATTTATTTATAATAATTAACTTTTGATTTCTACTATAATTATCGATACACTTAATAGGATTAAAATTGTTTTTTACATATTTAATATTTTTAAATATGTCTGATGAAAAATCTTTATCGAATCCTTTTTTTTTTATATCTTGTAAAATTTCTTCTAATACAATCCTACATTCTACAAATTTACTAAAATTACTTTTTACTAATTCTTTATTTTTATTTTTTGTTTGTGAAATAACTTTGCTTAAATAAATTAATGTGTCATTTAAATCATATTCTGAACTATCTGCATATGTTTTATTAATAACATTTAAAACGTCAAATTTTTTATCTAAAACTTTTTTCTCTTCCTGTGTCTGCATAAAAGGATACTTTTTTTTATTTTAAAAAATTGTTTGTTTGTTTGTTTTTGCCTACAAAATAAAAAAAAGTAATCCTAATCCTTTTATGCTTAGTAACTTTTTGGAGAAATTATCTGAATCAGAAAGAAGATTTTTAGCTGCAATTATTTTAACACTCATACTCAGCGCTACTCTGAAAAAAAAGAAAGGAACATTACATAACATTTGTGCCTGTATTATATTGTACATAACTTTTGGCTATTTACAGATGCTTTATTTTTTTATTGCTATATTTATAAATCTTAATTTATTGATTATTTTTAGATTTAAGGAATATTCACTTACTGTAATTAATTTTGCTATATTATATTTATTTAAAATTTTTGGTAAAGACTTTTATCCTCATATACAAGGTACATGTGATATTTCAGGTATTTTAATGCTTTTAACAATTAAAATGTCATATTTAGGGAGAGATTTTGATAATAAAAAGCACACTTTATTGGATGCAATAGGTTACATTGTATTTATACCTGGACTTATTCTGGGACCTACTACGACATTTATAGAATTTATAGAAACACCTGTATCTACAGAAATTGCATCTCCGCTTCCAACATTTATAGCATCCGCAATTTTTTTGGTTTTAATAAAGATTACAGAGAATTTTTTTCCTGTTAGTGTACTATACAAAAAAAATATTAATATTGGTACTAGATTATTAAATTTATACTTTTATAACCTTGGACAAAGATTTAGATTTTATTTTGCATGGCATTATTCAAATGGATGTTATATTTTACAAGGATTTAATGATATGCTTAATATAAAATTTTTTAGGGTAGAAACAGCAACTTGTATTAAAGACTTATCCCTAGGATGGAATATTAAAACCAATAAGTGGTTAAAAGAATGTTATTTCGACAAAATTAAACATAGAAATATATTCTTGGCGTCTTTTGTTACATTTACTGTATCGGCTTTATGGCATGGAGTTAAACCTGGATATTTAATTATGTTTTTATCTTTTTGTTTTTCTATTCCTGTAATTAAAGGAGTTAATAGAATTATATTGAAATATGCATCAGTATTGTATCCAATATTATCTAGAATTCAAATGATTTTTTTTATAATGTACTTTTCAGTACCATTTTTTTTATTAGATGTATCTAAAATTTATAAAGTTTGGTCTAGCGTTTATTTTTATGGTCATATTTATTGTGCATTTGCACTGTATTTGATATATTTATTATAACAGTAAACATTTGTGTGTAAATAAGATTTTTAACATATGCTTTAAAACTTAAACATAAGTAAAAATTTCTTATTTCAATTCATATACACTTTATTCTGCTAACATTTTCAATTATAATAATATTTCAAAATAAAATAGTTCTTTACTTTTATCAATATTCTGTAATGATAGTAAAAAACATATGATATTTAACAAGTGTAAAAACCACCATTTTTTGTTTTATAAATTCAAAAATATTAAAAAGTATATCTACTAATTATTGTTTGGCAAGATTACACTAAGTTCTGAAATAAATATTTGTAAAAGATAAATTGTAGTAAAATTAACTGTTAAATTACTTATTTCAGAACTAAAAGATAATACGAGGTTTAAGTAAATTTATAAATTTTCATTACAACATATTTTTTTAAAAAGATTTTCATTGATCTTAACTGTTAAACCCTGTATTCTTTAAATTTTCCATTCTTCTCTTTGAGAGAAAATTTTAAAATTTATGTAGCCAATCAGCTTCCTCACTATGTTTATTTTTTAAAAAAGGAATTCTGATGTTTGGTTACGACATTAACAACTTACGAGCTTATTTCAAAAAAAAATTTTATTATTTTAAAATTTCTTCCATTAAGCAAGTAATTTTTGTCCCTTAAATGATAGAAAAAGGAGAATACACTATTATTGATTTACTTTGTATTTCACACTCCTTGTTAGAACAACTTAACTCTGACAAACCTTTAGATAGCAAAAATGAAACAATATATAAAGCGGTATTAGAATTTAATGATAAAAAAATAGTCGCATATTTTTTAGGAAAAATAGAAATAGGGCAAAATTCTGTTATTAGAATAAAAAGTGACAAAGATTATCCACTACTTTATGATACAGATTATACAGTGATACGGAAAACTAGTTATATAACAAATAAAAGGTTATTAGAAAGTCTTTTAAATAAACAAAAAAGTAGAATCTAAAGAAATGTTTTATTTTCTCTTTTATGCTATTTTTACAAAGATTTTATGTGCTTCTTATTAGCCCACTTTCTCTGCTTAAACATGTGTAATATTAAAAAGATAATACAAGGAATGTATAAAATTATAAATGAAAGAAATAAATATTTAAATATTCCTTTTAGTTTTGTTAGAACATTAAACATTGATTGAAATTCTATGTAAATACTTATTGGATAAAAAATAATAAATAAGTTGTATCTTAAAAATTTAACATATGTGTTTCTAGTTAAATAATACAAATATCTTATACAATCAGTAAAATACCAAGTAAATGTAACTACACAGAAAAAATTAGTAGTACATTCATAAAAATAAAAAACAATCCAAATAATAAACATTCTAAAAAATAGTTGTATTACCGTAGGTTTGTATCTAGCATTACTTCTGTGTAACTTAATATTTAATATTTCTAAAAGAAAAAAAGATTGGAAAAGTGCTGATATTAGTAGATACATTTTTCTATTTGTAAAATAATATAAGTAACTAGTTGTGAGTGCAGTTAGTGCTATAATTATTCCTAATATGTTGTAAATTGTGATATACTTCATTAATTAAGGGAATGAAAAATATAAAAAATAATTTAAAAAGTTGAAATTTTATAAAAGATTTTTAAGAAAATAAAAAAATGCTTAATTATTTATAATTGATTAAAAATATTTTTAGTATCATTCTATAAAATTATAAACAAATTTTCTTGGACATAAAAATAATACAAAGTTTATTGCAAGTTTTATCGACAATGATCTCATACTATTAATTTAACAAACAAACAAATCGTAGAATCTGAAATATTTTAATGTATTTTATTTAAATTACCTTAAGTGACCTTAACAATATAAAACATAATACATTAAATATTTAAGAAGTAATTCTAAAGACAATCATATAAATTAAATGATAAGTAATTAAAATGTAGAATATTTTGATTACTTAATTTGTATGTGCAATTATTAAATATTTTATTATATACACACATTCAAAATCTTATAATTATTTTACCCCAAAAATGAAGCTTTTTATAGGAAGAATTCCTCGCGAGCTTGATGCTGACATTATTTACAATTATTTTAAAGCGTATGGAGAAATAGATAGCTATAATTTTAAGGGACAATACGCATTTGTTGAATTTAAGAATGACAGAGATGCAGAAAATATACTTAATACTAGAGATATTGAAATTAATGGACATCGTGTTGTAGTTGAAGCATCAAATAGTAAAGGAAAATTTCAAGGAGAGCATAAAAGACAGGAATTTCATTTTAATTCTTTATCTGAAAGGCCTGATTCTAATAACGTAGATTATCAAAGTAGTAGAAGAAGTCCAAGATATGATGATAGAAGAAGTCCAAGATATGACGATAGAAGAAGTCCAAGATATGACGATAGAAGAAGTCCAAGATATGATGATAGAAGAAATGAACGATATGGCAACAGAAGAAGTCCAAGATATGATGATAGAAGAAGTCCAAGATATGATGATAGAAGAAATTCTCAATATAATGAAAACTTTTATAGACATCATAACGATTTTAGATCAAATAGTGATTACCCACCTCGGCAACAATACAGTCGGGACTATGATTATAGAGCAATAGATCAAAATTTTGACAGAAATGGTTATAGCTCTAAAGAATCATCCAGATTCGAATACGATAAACATTATTTACAATCTGATCGAGAAAGATGCTCTTATTGCTCGCGATGTGAAATTCATGGAAATTTGCGATTTCCTAAAGAAGATCCTTACGAACATAAAAAAATAAAACGAGAACATCCAAATGACATTAATAAACTTGTTATACAAAACTTGCCTCAAAACGTGTCACTTCATGATATCGATGATTTTGTTAAGCAAACTGGACTTGAATCTGTATTTTCAAGATTAACAAAAAAAGGAGATGCTGCGATTGTCGAATTTAAAGATATTCAATCTCGTGATGATGCTATATCCAAACTTGAAGGTAAAGATCTTAAAGGAACACCTGTTTATGTAAGGGAGTTTAAAGTAGGCAGTAATTTTCAAAGATCAATAAATTCACTAGCAGATAGGGATATATCTCCCATTCAAAATGATTATAAAAAAAAAGTTAGTGGAGATAATGATGACAGTCAAGGTGTTGATATTTATTCAGGATTAGATAAGTAATAAATATATTTATTTTGTAAATGTTTAAAAAATATAAATTTTAATTCTTTGCATCGACAAAATTGAATTGTACGATTTGAAGTTTATGACTATTGCTTTTTAGTTGTAAGTGTACACTATTTATAATAAGTTATTTTCATATTGCAAGTATAAAAATTATATTTTTATTACAAATACATTTTATCTTTTTGGTCAATTACTTTGTAATTATTATTTATACTTTATCAAATAAAATTTACTCATTGATCTAAAATTAATTTTTATAGAAAATTTGTACAATTTCTTTTGATAAATTTTACAATAATTTTCGCTAGAATGTTTTAAATCTATGAACTGATACAAAATATCTTATTATAATATCTGTATTTTACAATTATTTACTAAAATATCTTAAAAATCGCTAAAACAGCTTTTAATTATAAATAATATTTAATGTAAAAGCTTAATTGAATGAAAACATTATGTAAAGCTTCTTTTTATTAAGATTTAATCTGTACGGTATTTAATAGATGAATTTCTACATTTCAAATTTAAAATCATCTGCCGTCTTACTGATATAAATTTACACTGTTCTTATTACTTCTTTTTAAAATCGAATTAACTTTTCATTTTTTTTTCATTTATAAAATTAATCTTTGTAAATTAAAACTGCCAGCTTGTTAAAAGATAACAAATTTTAAACATTTTCTTTGTATGTAAACTTTGAATTAAATTTACTTCATCATATTTTGCAAGTTCAGAAAAGCTGTCAAACTTAAAAATAAATTAATTTTTGTTGTTATCATAATATCCCATTAAAAACGTTTTTATAAGAATTTACATCAAATATATTTACAATTATAATAATTTATTAATTAATACAATCATTTCTCAAATTTAACTTATTTTTGTTTAGCCTAAGATAAATTAATTTTTTATAATAAATTTAAATTTTAGCATAACCCCTATGATTTTTCCAAAAGAAACAGAAAAAATTGAAAAAGTAACAGTTTCGCAACAGTTTGAAAATAACGTCATTATCAAAAGGAAAAGAAAGCGTAGATGGTTTTACTACTTTATGTGTATAACTATTTCTTTTATTATTTCCAGGGTTCTTCTTATTGTATTTTCTGTGTCCAATTTTGACTTCAAAAATTATGTTCTTTATCAGGTTTCTTATAACACTAAGAGGCCACATTCTATTTATCTTGAGGCAGTGCACAACAGTGCTTTTTCACCTTTAAATATTCAAATTCTTGAAGGAGTTGTCAGTTTGTATTCTAGTACGCAAGATTCTAAAAATAGGGAATTAATGGCAGAAATACATATTCCGCTTATTGATGTTGTAAAATATCAAACTTTACAATTTAAAGGAGATATTGTATGGAAGAATATTAGACCAAAAGCTATTTATAGTTGTTTAAAGCATAAAAAAAATATTGGTGTACACTTTACTGGTAATATTTGGTTTAGATTTTGTTATGTTAAGTTTAAAAAGTCACATTCTCAAGATGTAACATTTACGCATCCTTTTTTTAGCAAGTCAACAGAAGAAAAAAATGCACCATTGAATATTAAGAAAGTTCAATTTTATAATTTAAATGAAACTGTTCAGATTGATGTAGAACTTGAGCTTTGTAATATTATGATTCCTAAATTTCTTAATGTAAAATCTGAAGAGTTTACATTGAATTTTGAAGGGGATTTACCATTTCAGATAACATTTTATGAACAAAGAATTAAAGATGGAAGGTTTTCTTTTCCTATAAATTTAAAAGTTAATTTTCTAAAAAAGGATTTTAACATTTACAGGGCGGCGGTATGGAAATATTTGCGTCGTGATAGTCTTCTTTGGTCGTTAAGTGCAATTGATATTCTACATAATTATGACAAACAATTTATTGATTCTTATCTGATAAATATAGGAGATAGCTTTTGCGATAATACCGTAGCGAAAAGTAAAAGTAAGAAAAAAATAGTTGAATCTCCGCGTTTTTTATTAAGAGATGTAAGGGGGACAAAAAATTATTTAGAAGGGATGATTTATATTGAAACCTTTCTATTTCCTTATGTTAATATTAATACTGCTTTTGAATATAAAAATTGCTACAAGAATTTTATTATCAAGAACGGTTCTACAGTTTTTGCTAAAATTGGTTTTGAAGCCGTCAATTCTAGAGAATTTGTTAAGATTAAGTTTAGACTGACATTTCAAAATTTTTCAGAATTTGTTGAGTGTTTGTTTGTTGGGAAAGAAGCAATTGTATTGTTTGATGAAACTACAGATGGATTTTTTGAAGGTTTATATCTAAAATTAGATGGAGCAGAATTATATTTGATTTCGGAAAGAGATTATATTCTTTTGTACAAAAAGGGTTCCGTAAATAAGCCTTTTCCATTTAGTATTAGTTTGGATCATCAAGTACAAGCACAGGACAACACTATTGCTGTAAGTTCTAAGATTAATTTTAACAAAAGAAATGATTCTGAATCAGATCTTTTTTTGTCTTTAATGGTGCCGGATTTCAGCTTTGAATTGCTTGGTGATAATGTGAGATTTGAAGTATATGTATTGTCAGCAGAGTTGGTTTTTTATGGGAATGGAATGATTGATGGAAGTTTATTAACAAGCATGGAAATCAATATAAACAAAAATATCAAAAATTTCGTAGAATTACATGACATGTTTTCAGAAGTTATTGTTTTAAGATTTTCTGATTATTGTAAATGGATTTTACCAAGAGCTGATGAAAATCAGAAGAAACTTGAATTGTTTTCTTTACAAGATTTAAGTGTGAGTTTAGAAAAAGTTGTTAGTTTTGATCCGCCAAGGATAGGAATTAGGCTGTGTAATACGTCAAGATCGCCGAGCAATATGCAAGGCTTGTGTATTTTTAATCATTTTAAACTTTTTAAAGGACCTTTTGTAAGACTTGTTTTTTCAGGGGCAGAATATGTTCGAAATGATCATATTATATTATTAGAAGATATGTTTTTTGATTTGAACTATCATAATGGTGATTTAAAATTATTTATTGATGATTGTTTTTTTGGTGTCAGTCTCTTTTCTACTCAAGAAATTAGTATTTTAATTTCAAATTTATTTAGAGCCGGGATGGATCAAAATATGTTAGGAAATATTGTAGGTCTTTTTTTAAACAAAGTTTTGGATGCAAAAAATGATCAAAGTAATAATGTTATTGATTCTGCAATGCTTTGTTGTATTAAAGTCGATTCATTAGGGGACAGTGATGCATTGTCAACCAATGTAACGTTAACAGTTGGCCTTAAAAAAGAAATTTTAAGTTCTCTTAAAATTGGACAGTTGAATTTTACGAATTTTGATCTAAACTATATGAATGAGTCAAAAAGAGGCATTGCTTTTGTTTATATAGAAAAAGGATATATTGAAAATTATGATTGTATTATTGTTAAGCTACACTTAACTGACGGATTTTTGGATGAAAGCGACGGTGGTTTCTTAATTGCTTGTTTTAACAATAAATACAAAAAATGCAAGACTGAAGATTCAGAATGTGAGTTAACGAAGACTCAACTTTTGAAAATTATTAATTCATTTCTTACACCTTTATTTGCTAAGGACAAAAAAGAAGATCATTCGTATGTTCAACTAACAAATATTATTCTTGATGCTAGGGAATCTACGATTGATTTAGGTGGTTTTGTTAAGGGTAAAAATATAATTTTTGAAATCGAAAATTTCGGGTTAAGGGACTTTATAAGATACACTATCAATAATCTTCTATCTAAATTATTTTATTGTCTTCCTAACAAATTATCTCTTAGTGTGAATTCTGAGCAAATAGAACTTTTATCTTTTAAAAATTTAGAATTTGTTAAACCTGGGAATAAGCCGTTTGGACCGCTTAGTGATATATTATCTTTTACTATTTGTAATGTTAATTCAAAGCGCGAGTATGAAATGGTCGATCCGAGTATACAAATATATGAATCCGAGGCAATTAAAATCGTGCAAAAAAAATATAGTTTATTGAAAAAAAGGTGGATTGAAATTGTTAGTAAAACGAGCTTTCAAGACATTGTAGACAAAGCAAAATTAAAAAAGTTTCTAATTGAACAGAGTAATTTAAAGGATTTAGATGATTTATGTTATCAAAAATTTGGTGTGGAAGAGATTAGGAAACTTAAAAAGCAACTTTTTAAGCTTTTATTTGTTGAAAAGGACACATATTCTTTAATTTTAAAGGTTGATTTATATTGTAGAACAGATTCTTGTAATTTTAATCTGCAAAAAATTCGTTTTTCTTCGCCGCTTATAAACGTATTAATGAAAATCATTAAGCCTGCGTTGCCGAAAGCGAGAGGAATACCGTTTATTGGAGATCCTATTCCAATATCTTTTTTCGGTATCTCAAAAAAATTGGGAGTTAATCTTTGCGTAATTTCTCCGAGCGATTTAAGATGTAAATTTAAATGCCGAGATTTGGTACTTCTCGACGACGCAACGATACCAAGTTTCTGCACTTATGACGGATATATTAATATATCATGGAGTAATAGTGTAAGTATCCGCATAATACGTGCATTTTCTTGTTTTTTTTCACAAGAAAGTCCTTTTGAAATTACCTTAAGTAATAAAAAACAAAAAATACTTTACAAGATTAATGCTCATTTTGAAGCAATTAAATTTTACGTCGCCGTGTTTATTAAAGTAGTAGGTAAGGTATTTGATTTTACAACATCTATCATTCAAGATTCAAGTGCTGCAGCTTATAATTCGCTATTGGGTCAAACTGTTAAAAAATTGGTTGTTAGTTTATATTCAGGATTTTCAAATGGCTTTAAATGGTTTTTCGAACTATTTGGAATTGCAAAAAGACATCAAGAGTGCCAACGAGTGTAAGTCAATGGGAATTAAATTTTTTATGTGAATTTTTATTTAATTGTCAGTTTTTTGTAAATACAAATTTAATTTATAAAAATACTTTGTATTATTTCGTCATTTATAATATGCATGTATTTTATTTGTGAGTTGAGTTTTTTATTGTAAAGAGTTATATTAATTTTTATACAGCATGTTATAAAAAAATTAATTATTAATATTATCAATCTTAAATATTCAACTTTTATAAGCATTTTAATAATTTTACGTGCGATAAAAACTTTTATATAATTAATTTAGTAGCTGTATTTCGAAGTGTTTATTTAATTTATATAAAATCTGAGTTTATATCTTTATAAGATTTACATACTTTAAATCTTTATTACATTTAAATTTATTCTTAAATTTTTTTTAATTTTGACCTACGGGAGGTCAGGCATGATACTGTTGCTGTATCGCCCCGCTGAACTGAGTTGTGTTCTTAAATGGTGTATTGAGCCAGGCGATGTTGTTCTGTGCACTCACTTAATGTGAGAGATGGTCTTTAAGTAGACCGAGGATTCTGTATCCTAAGGGAACGTTCTTTTCTCCTATAAGCAAGGCCGTAAAGGTATGCTGGTGTGCAAGCGCAATATTGATGTTTTGGTTTTACAGTGGAGTTTTTGGTGACCTGGTGGTTTTTCTTCTGTTGCTGTTTTTTATTTTTTAACAATAAACTTTTTATTTTTATTTTTTTTTTAAATTATTTTTTATACAATAATAAAGTATTAAGGTTGTGTAGATAATCTTTAAAAAAGTAGTTGTAGTTTTTTTAAATCAAAAGGTAGTTGCAATTTTTTTAAATTAAAAGATATTTCATTTGATTTTCTATTTTCCCGCATCGATCAGAAAATTATTAAAAATTTATTAAATTAAATATTATTATTTTTCGACATTTTTAACTTACAACTAAAAATCAAGAATTCTATTCATAAAATATGTGAAAAAGCTACAGAAAAAATATATGTTTATATTATTAAGCTAATAATATTTTTCACCTAACTTGCTGGCAGAAAGGCTTCATTACAACAAACAAAAATAAAAGTAATTTTATTCATCCACATTTACATTTTGTAATTCTTCAATTGTAAATCCTTTAGAAATAGTTTTTAGTTCTTCTTGAATTTGAATATAATCTTTAAATTCTTTACCTCCTCCTATCATATCGATTACAAAACCAGTACGACCAAATCTACCAGATCGTCCTATTCTGTGAATATAAGTTTCTAAAAGTAATTTATCTTCATAATAAGGCAGATCAAAATTTATAATTAAATTAACTTGTGGGATATCCATGCCCCTTGAAAATACATCTGTAGTAACCAATATTTTTGTATCTGCCGTTTTAAACTTTTCAACGGTAAAATCTCTTTCTTCAGGCAAAAGATCGCCATGCAAAATAGATACAGAGTTTGAATCCGCAACAAGAATTTTTTCAAGTTTTTTCACCGTTGCCTTTTTTGATACAAAAACAATAACTTGTCCTACAGTTAATAATTCATACAAAGATTGTAATGTCCTGACCTTGTCTTTATAACTAACATCAATATGATACAATTTTATTTCATCTGGTTTAGCATTTTGTTTTTGATACAATTTTACGCAATCAGGAGCGTAAGCATCAATAGTCTTTTTTATATCATCATTGTAAGTTGCAGAAATAAAAACCTTTTTTGCTGTTTTAAAGGCCTGTAAAAGTCTAAATGTTTGTGTTCCCATCGTTGTCTTATCAAGTAACACATCTGTTTCATCTAGTACAAAAAATTTTAAATTTTTAAAGTCAAAAAGTCTTCTATTTACGAGAGAAAGTACAGAACCAGGGGTGCCTAAAATAATTTCATAATGATTTTTATCAAAATTTTTGTCTTTTAAAGCCAAAAAGGTTTCTATTTCGTTATATTTTGTTAGTTTTAGTGTTACATCGTATATTTGCATATTTAATTCTCTTGTAGGACTGATAATAACAGCCTGTGTACCCTTTCCTTTTTCAATAGAAGTAAGAAGTCCAACTAAAAATGCTATTGTTTTTCCTGTTCCACTTTGACTTTGTATTACTACATCATTTTGACTTTTAATAGCAGGAATGGCCAGTTTTTGTACTTGACTTGGGTGTTCATGGCCTAAATCGTACAATGCTTGAAGAATTTTTCCTAGTTGCATTTCCTCAAATCTTTCTACAGCCAAAAATTTATCTCTATTTATCATTTGAATAGATTCAACATCTTTATTATTACAAATATATTCTGTATCTTTTTTTATATCTTCGTAAAGTTCCTTTGCTACCTCGTAGGCACTTTGAACTTTTTGATTGTTCATGGGGGTAAAAAAATATAAGATTTTTTTACTTTATTGCATAACTTATAAGGCATATAGTAACTTTTATAGCTTATAAAAATCACTAAATTCTTAAACATTATAGACTAAACCTTGTTGGAACAAAACATGGATTTAGGTTTTAAATATTTTTTATATTTCTAAATGTCAATAATATCAGCAATAGTAAAAGAAATATTGACATGACTCTATTATTCCTACAAGCCTATCTCAAAATTACAAATATTCCCATTTTAAAAACTACAAATATTTCTCGTGTTATTTATGCAAATTATGCTTAATGAATTTTTTTATTTTATTTTTGCCCTCATGGACATTTTTAAAATTATAAATGAAAACAGAAAAAAATATTTGTTCCCATCAAAAGAATACAAAGCATTAATGCTTAAACATAAGGATACAAATATTAATAAATTGGAGTTAAATACTTGTAAACATTATTTACTTAATTCTAATAAATACCTTAAAAAAAATATAAAATTATCTACTAATCGATTATACACCGAATACATGACTTGTCTTTTAGAAAAGGATATAAAAAAAATACTAAATCTCAGAAGCCAACTCGAAGAATTTGATTCCTTTGTAAATGAGTTCGATCAGCTTTTAAATAATCTTAATTTTGATATCACCACTGTAAAGTCTAAATATATGTGGCATGATATTGAAATATTATTTAACACCGAAAAAAAGAAAAATGACTATATTAATAAAAAATATGTGGTAGAAGATAAAAAATTTAATAATCAGCTTATTATATACATTAATAAGATAGAAAGTAAAATACTAGCATTTAAGAAGCTTTTAAAAAAAAATAATACTAGAATTAACTGCTTAAGAAATAAATTAAAAGTTATTTATAAAGTAGTAGAACAGTTTCTAAACTTTTTGTCCGAAAATTATGTTGAGTCTGAATATTTAAAAAAATTACAAATTGAATTAGAAAATATTTTGACATTTTTTACTGATTTTAATTCCGATCTTGACTTGTGTGTATTTGTAGATGTAGAAGATGAAATTAAAAGTTGTAAAAATATTAAAAGTAAGAATGATATAAGAGAAGATCTAATTAATGTTCTTAAAAGCTTTTTTAGTCCTTCTGGTAATCAAGTTGATAATGTACCTTTTCTACCTGAATTTTATGATATAGCATATGACTATATTAAATATCCAAGTGATAATAAAAATATTAATGAACTTTTAGAGAAAATGAATATAAAATAAATATAATTTATATTACAAGATTATTTATTAAATTTAATAAAAAATATATAGTTGTATAAACCAATTAATTTCTAATTATTGTTAAAAAAATACAATACTAATTTTTATTATTGTTAAGAAAATACAATATTAATTTATTATTATCGTTAGGAAAATACAATATTAATTTCTTAGTATTGAAAAATATACAAATATTTTTTTAATGTTAAGAAATATACAAATAATTTTTTTTGTTAAAAAAATACAAATAATTTTTATTATTGTTAAGAAATATACAAATATTTTTTATTGTTAAGAAATATACAAATAATTTTTTTTGTTAAGAAAATACAATATTAATTTCTTAGTATTGAAAAATATACAAATATTTTTTTAATGTTAAGAAATACATTATTAAAAGTGTATATAAAATTATTTTTTACTTTTTAAAAATAAACATATGTTATGTTTAATCCTACTAATGATAAATAAAACTTAAATATACAAATTAATAATTTAATCAAATTTTTGTTATTAACTGTGTGATTAGTACGAAACAATAATTTATACTAAAATTGTAATAAAATCTTGTAATTATCTTTTAAATCTAATAGATTATTTGTTTGTGATATTACCAATCTTAAGTCAAATTATTACATTTGTCTATTTTCCCTTATGAAAATATTTACTACATCCACAAATATTGTATTTCCACTAGTCACAAAAAGAGACACATTCATCTTGTTAAATACAAATAGTAAATTAAAATACACACATTTATATATAGAGACAACACTTACAGTAGATGAATCTATTGAAATACTGTGTAATTACATATTAGAACATGAACTTAAAGAAGATTGTGATATTAAAATTAATAAAAATGGATTATTACTCAATAAAACAAATATAAAACAAAATTCTATGACAAAAATACAAAGTAAAATTCTTGAATTGGGAAGAGATGACAAACAAATAGAAAAAATATTAAATACAATTAATTAAAATATTACAAATGCATTTTTGTTATTATTGCTAATGTAACCTACTGAAAATGCATTTACAAAGAATCTCTATTTATTTTTAATAGAAATTATGCGTTATTGGTTACGTTCTCCTTTTTAGACTATAAATTGCTTTTCTTTAAAAACCCTTTATGTTTTACACAGCACTTTTTCTGAATGTATTAATATATTACAACTTGTATAAAGACTTTTTAGATCACTTGTTTAGTAAGATATACATAAAAAACTAGATTAGAGTAAGAAGTTAATTTATATTAAATAATTAGAATGAATATAATATTGTTATTTATTGAAAAATATTAACTTTAGCATTTGAGTGTATTTTATATTTCCTTTAAAATTTGCTTATAATTTATTTGTTTAAATAATATTTACTAATCAATTCATTACTTATCTTTAGCTTATTGGCCCTAATAATTTATACATTTACTTCTTCTATAGTAAATCTTTTACTCTCTTGTATATAGATCTTAATTTAAATATTAAGATTCGTGTTTATTTTATACGGTTAGTAAAATAATTACTACACTGCCCACACATTACCAGATGTTACATTATTTGTATATTTCTTGTAGAAATAAAAAAAAAATAGTCATTTACACTTTAACTATAAAAATTAATCTTTTTTTGTTAAAATATTATTGTATTTGACTTCTATAGCAATTTGTATTTTAAGTCAACCCTAAGCTAAAATTATTAATAAAGAGATGTATTCATGCAGTAAACATGTTGGATTTTCTTCTTTTGTCACTTTATAGTTTAAATAATTTTTACTATCTTTTTATTTTAAAAAAATAATTTTTTCATTTAGTGCAAAAATTATTAAGTTGACCAATCTAAGTGACTCAAGCCTGGCGCATAAAATCATACTTTGTAGTAGATCTTTGTGATTGACGTAGTCCATAGAAGCTATCTCTGGTAAAATATATTTTTAATAAATTTATAAAATATTTATTTTAAAAATTTCATGATGTCATAATCATGGCATGAGGCCTTATGGTATTGTCTCAAATTATCTAATCTATTACTTCTTTCACTGTAGTTCTTTGGTTTTCTTTTCATTTTTGTTAATCTGTGAAATATTGAGATTAAATTAATAGAAAAATATATATATAAATCATAAGAATAGAACAATAGATCGGTCTATTCTAACCCCAAATTAATTTTATTTTGGCACAACTTTGTGTTATTGATAATACCACAGCGATATTTTGTTCTCTTTTCAAAGACAAATTTTAAAATTTAAGCTTCTCAAACCTATTTTAAATATTGTTTTAATTAAATATAAAATTTTTTATTTTTACAAAATCAGTATACCCCCCAGTAATGCGATTTATATTTATTTTAATGATAACATTTTGTGGAATTTTTTGCACGAAAGCGTCTTTCGAATTACAAAATATTGGTGATAATGCAGTAAGTAATAAACAAAATAATGGTCCAGAACATGTTACTTTAATAGTTGAAGAATCTAGTATAGAATCTACACAAGAATCATGGATAGAGAAAAATATTTATAAGATAGAATATTATACAAAAGTAATTTATAGTACAAGTGTTATTTGCACTATTTTTTATTATTCGTACTGCTTATATAATTTATCCAAATAAATTTTTCTTAATTTTCTATTTTATTTTTGTAATTTAAATAAATTAATTTATATATTTTTTCTTCATAGAAAATAATTAAAATTAATTTAGAGTGGAAATACGGTTAAAGAACACGAGTTGTACCAAAAAGTAGGGTCTGCAAAATTTTTATTTGTTACTCTTCAAAATGAAATTTCAAATGTTTAGAAAGAAAGAACTCAAATGTTTGATTTTAAATAAATTTTATATAGTTTATGGAAATGTCTGTTTTTACTGTAAAGAAGTAGTTAAATATGTTAGAAGAAACAAATATGAGTTTATAAGATGTAATAATAGGTTTTGCTAACTTTATAGAAAACAAATTTGTTTATGGAAGCATTCTATTTTTTTGAGTACTAAAGTTAAAAAATATAAGGTTTTGAGAATAACATAACTGTGGATTATTAAAACACCTATCGGTGCGATAGCATATATTTTAAGAATAAATCAAATCAAAGCTTATCGAATTTAAAAAAACTGTCAAAAGTATTAGTTGATAAATTTTATAGTAATAAAAATTATATTAGAAATCTTGATGAAATTATAGAAATAGATGAATCAAAAATAGGAAAAAGGATATATAGTTAACGGTGTCTTGATGTTTGGTTTAGTTAAAAAAGAAGAGAATAAAGAAGTTTTATTATTTCAAGTAGATAATAGGAACATGTCTAAACTTAAATTAAAATCAAAAATCTGGTAAAAAAAGATACAACAATTTACAGCAATTGTTGGAAAAACTATAATAGCTTAAATGAATGTGTATATGTGCACAAAACTGTTAATCACAGCAAATGGTTTAAAGAACAAAAGCTCATACAAATACCATTGAAGGAACATTGTCTGGTTTAAAAGCTTATATACCTTTTAGACGTAGAACTAAGAAGCATTAATCCATATCCAGTTAAAACATGCTAATTAACAATTATAAAGATCATCCATTAATAACTTGCCTAAAACTTTTATTAAATCAGACTCAATAAAAATTATTTATTCGCAGTTTTTCACTAAAAACTATTCGTTTAAAGCAACAAAATTAAATTCAAGCTTTTGAGTTTTTTTCTTTCTGAACATTCGAAATTTCTTTTTTAAGGGTAAAAAATAAAAATTTTGTAGACACCACTATTTGGTGCAACACGTGTTAAAACTCCTAGAAATACATTTGTATACAACAACAATTTTTGAAAATCTTCTTTTATTTATTTACATAATATAACAGTTATTTTAATTGTATTATCAATTTTTCTGAAGATGGTGTATTGACAAAAAATAAGCACGTTTATTTTTTCATAACAAAATTTAGAATTTAATAAAATCTGTTAAATTTTTAACAAAAAATAAAATTTATTATAAATCATGTTCTGTGTGATTTAAGTGCAACATCATCTTATAACTGTCTTACGATTAGTTACAAACCCTTAAAAATATAAAAATATAAAGGAAATAACAAGTTTCTATAAATGTATGTTCTTTTTCTTTGAAGTTAATACATTATGCAAAAATAGAAATTTAATTAATTTGTATTAATCATAATTGCTTATTTTTTTGTTTGCTATAAATAACATTAAATATTCTTAATTTAAATCTTTATTAAATTATGATTAACTTTTTTTTAATGTTTATTTAACTGACACAGACAATATTTACAACACCATATTATGCAAATTTATCTTAAATATTTAAAAATTTAAAAATTCATGTAACCATAATTATGCAGTTAATTTTATTTTTGATAGTTTATAAAATTTATATGCATGCAGACGTTTGATGAACTAAAAAATGCTAGTCCTGAAGCTGTAACTAATAAAAAAAATGATGGTAAAGAGCATGACAAGGCGATGAAAGGCGAGAATAATAAAGAACTTTATCAAGAATTACGGCTAAAGAAAATTGCTGATACTATTGAATATTTTTTATGGATTGATTTTCTTACATTATTTTTTGACTTTATTTCTTATTTTGTGTACACGACATATTTTGATTGATAGTTGTTTTGTAAATTTAATAATAATTAGTTTCCTTTTTTAGAAATCATTTTTTTAATTAAAGAAATTTTTTATTTAGTTAAAATTTAATCAATAACGTTCTATAAGGTAAATGTATTGTCTTAATTGTTTTAATTTAGTTTTTTTATCCCCTCTCGTGAATAATTATTATATATTTTAGTATCCAGTAAGATTGCATCTTAAAGTATAAGGTGAGTGAACTACTACGACACGCACATTTGTAATACGACATTTGTTTAATTCTTAACTAAATATTAATAAAATACTGCTATTGTAAATGCAATATTTATTTTTAGAAAATGGCATCTAATCTAACAAAAGATTTTACTTTTTTTTAAAGCAAAGTTTTTTAAATAATTAAATTTTACAAAAAGTAAAATTGTAATAAAATATGTTTAACTATTTTATTTCAGCTTCATTTTATAACTGTATTATGATACATTACAATTTTAAATAAAAGATTAAGTGAATTAAGATTTGTCAAAAAACTACAAATTTTTATAAATGTTACTTTAAAAAATTGTCTTTTTCTCTGCAGTTAAATTCTGTACATAAACTATATTAATATTTAAATCTTATTTTATAACAGTTTTGTTGTTTTTCCACCCTGCAAATGAGACAACTAAGATACCATGAACAAAAGCTACTAAAAAAAGTTAATTTTTTAGAATGGAAGAATACAAATACTACAAGAGAACATTTTGTTATAGGAAAGTATAATCTAAAAGATAGGGAAGAATATACACGATACAATCAAATAGTGGGTAAAATTAGAAAGATTACTGAAATGCTATCAAGGCTTAAAGACAATGACTACACCAAAAAGACCATCAGTACTAAACTGGTAAATAGATTGTATGATTTAGGACTAATTTCTAATAAAAAATTAGTTGATTGTACTAAAATATCAGTGTCTGATTTTTGTGAGCGTAGGCTTCCAATGCTTTTAAAGAAAAATAAAATGGTAGAGAATTTTATTGATGCAACAAGATTTGTAGAACATGGGCACATTAGGCTTGGGCATAAAGTTGTAACAGAACCGAGTGTAATTATTAGTAGAGCTATGGAAGATTTTATAAATTGGGTAGAAGGTAGTAAAATTAAAAGAAAGATTGACGAGTATAATGAAGAACTTGATGATTTTTAAAAATATTTTTTAATAATAAATATACATTATTATTATTTTAAATACTACACTACTGTTTTTAACATACATTTATTCAATATGCGCTACTATAATTTAATATACAATACTAATACTGTTTAAAATAACAATTATTTATTATTCTAGTGATTTAAGCCATTCTTTAATATTTACAACATCATTTAAATTCTCACTATTATCTGTGCTTATTCTACTTAAATGTAATATTCTGTCATAAACAGGCTCAAAATCACAAACTTGTGCTGAACTTGTAAATCTTCCCAATGGTGAACTAGAAATTTCACATTCTTCATCACTTGAAAATTTAGTCGTAGAAATAAAATGATCAATTTTTTTATAATTATTAGAATCCCTAGCAAATTCTCTATGTTCATATTCCCTTACATGTAAATCGTAATCAGTAAATTTATTATAGCAAACTTCACAAAATCCAGATTTCGGGCCTCTTTTTTTACTGCTTGGTTTAAACTTTTTATTTTCTTGAAATGGACATCCTAAAGGTTTACTATTTAGTGATAGTTGTGGTGGTTTTGTGTATTCTTTATGAAAAGGTTGGTGTGTTCCTTTTATATCTTCTATAAGGATGTATTTATTTTTAAAAACTTTGTAATTTTTCATCCTGAGTCCCTAAACAAAAAAAATATTTTTTGTTTTAAAAGGCGGGAAATTAATAAAAAAAGCTTACTTTAGACCCTTAATGTCAAGTAATACATTTTCAGAAGAGGGAAGATTATTACAAACTGAATATGCTATAAAAAATGTAGCTAAAGGGGGTACAATAATAGGTTTGGTGTGTACTGATGGAATCATTTTGTTAGGAATAAACAAAACTGAACTTGTAGATGAAAATGAAAAAATTTATAAAATTAATCCAAATGTCTATATTTCTGTGTGTGGACTATTTGGAGATGCCATGCTTTTAAAGAAATATGGACAGATTAAAGCGCAAGAATTTTTAGAAGAATTTGATTATGACTGTAATATCGATAGAATATGCCAATACATCTCAGAGAAGAAACAATTTTTTACTCAGTGCAACAATACAAGACCTTTTGGAATAAGTTTTTTATATGCAGGACACGTAAAGAATAATTATAAATTGTGTTCTACAGATCCCAGCGGTACATTAAATGAATGGAAAGGTGTATGTTTTGGCGAAAATGAAGATGGTATAAATAATGGATTAAAAAATGATTTACCTGACGAAGATTTAGACCTGGAAAAGGGGACTTTAGAGCTATTTAAGATATTATCAAAATTAACTGAATGTAACAGTAAAGACTATAAAAAATATGAAATTTTACACTATAAAATTAATGGAACACGATTTCTAAGTTTTGATGAAATTGAAAAAATTTTACAGAAAGTTGAAGAAGAAAAATTTAAAAAATAAATGTTTTTTTTTATTAAATTTTAGGTTTTTTATGTATCAAGTATAATTTTTTTACAACTTTTTTTAGAGCTATAAAAAATTTTATTTTATCTTTGTTGATGTTTTTATAACAAATAACCATCAACTTACAATTATCCTGTAACAATCATAAAACATCAAGAAGACAATATTTTAAAAAACTTAAATAAAAAGGAATATACTTTTTAATTAAAACATTTCGTAACATTTTATGTTTCATATATTTTATTTATTAGTTCCCTTAAATCTTTCAATTATGAGACGAAGAAATCACGGAAAAAAATTTTCCGTAGAAACCACGAATAATCAGAAACAAAAAGAAAGATACAAAATACAAGGATTAGCAAATTTATTGTATACCAAATTAAACATGAATAGTAATTATTTTCACTACTTTAAATTTACAAATTTTATAAAGAGAACAGTATTCACTTTAATCATGTTAGGCCTATTTATATTTATAAGTACAAAACATGTATCTTATTTGGTTAGTCTTGTAGTGTTTCTTACATTATTTATTTTAAAAGAAATTATTTCGATTGCTAGAACACAACAAGGATATGTATGTCACATAGGCATTGTTATAACATTTTCTTTAGTAATTTACAATTATTATTTATTTGATGCTTTAACTTTAATTTATCCTTCCATGTATAATATTTTTTTGGCTTTTAAAAAGGTTTATTTTTACATCTATTTAATATGTTTAATATTTTTTGTATGCTCTTTTAAGCCTGGCAAACTAAAAAAACAATTTTCTTTATTTAGTTTAATACATCTTGCAAGTTATTTAGTAGGTAACTGTTGTAGATCAGCAATAAAAAATGTCGGTGTAGGCAAATTTTGGTTATTTTTCCCATCCACGCTCGTAATCTGCAATGATATTTTTGCTTATATTGTTGGAAAGCTTATAGGACACACCCCGTTGTTTAGACTTAGTCCTAAAAAGACGGTAGAAGGATATATTGGAGGATTTATTTTTACGTTAATTTATGGATATATTTTTATATATTTACAACTGAAATACACCCCTTTTAATGATTTATACAATGAAGAAATAAGACGAGTATTGACATTTATATTTTTCAATTATAAATGGCATATTCCTTATATATATTTACATGGACTATCGTTTATTCTAATGGCTTCTTTTGTCGCCCCTTTTTCAGGCTTTTTTGCTAGTGCATTTAAACGAACGTATGGTAAAAAAGACTTTGGAAATTCTATTCCAGGACATGGTGGATTAACTGATAGATTTGATTGTCAGTGTATAATGATATTTTTTACACAAGTGTATTTAAAATCAATTCTTAGAACTAATGAACAAGCACTTGAATCTTATTTTCATCATATAACAAATTCATTTGATAATAATGATATATTACGTTTGATAAATATGCTTAATAATCATATTAATTAAATAATTGAAGAATAGCAATTAATCCTACACGAAAGATTAAGCAAATAAATAAAAAATTATTAGTAAACAATTTTATTTAAATTTTTATTTTTATGAATTTTTTTGTACTTGACATAAATAACCTTATTATTTCTATTTAACGTAAAAAAAACTAATATTTTTATATTATAATTTTTTTGAGATTACCAATTTACTTTAAAAATATTTAAAAATCTATATTTTTTTAGTCTAAAATGACAAATATTTGCAATTCAAAATTTGCAACAAAAATTCATAATCAATTTATAATGCATAATTATTTTGATTAGAGGTGTTAGAAAAAGTATAATTTTTCTGTTTTACAAGATCAATTTTTTAAACTACAAATTTGTTTTGCGTTTTTAAATCATACATTATTTTATAATTTATTATTCTTACTTTTTTACACCCATTTATGGACACATTAGAAATTAATAATGAACCACAAGAAAACGTTCAACAGGAAATTGAAGATTCTTTTAGGGAATACGAACAATATTTAAATCAACAAGTTGTTGTTATGCTAAAAGACAACAAATTTTACTACGGAATACTAAAAAGTTTTGACCAATACAATTCTATTACATTAAATTATTCTGTAGAACGTATTTTTTATGAAAACATGTATGCAGAAAAATATCACGGACTACTTGTAATAAGAGGTGACACTATTTCTCTAATCGGTATATCACAGAATAATTTTAAGAATTATAAAAAACAAGATTTTAATTTTATTTTTAATTTACTAAACAATAAATTAGAAAAATAGAACTAAATAAATTATTTGTTAATTGCTATTTTTTAATGTTACTCCCATGTAAATGCTTATCTCTCTGCACTTAGCACCATTATTTTTGTATACAATTGAATAATTCATCTGATCTGTTCTCATAGTTCCATTACCTTTAATTGGTACTTTTGTAAAAGGACTTTCTATAAAACCTTTAATGTGCTCATCTTGCTCTTTCTCCCAAAAAATAATATAACTAGGCGATCCTACAATTGGAAAAGTAAAATGTCCTTTATATGTTAATCCAATATTACAGTCTATTAAACTCTCTCTATGGTACAACTTCGGAAGATTTACTATCTTAATGTCTATTGTTTTATTTTTATTAAATTTTGGAACAAGTTTTAACAACAAAATATCCTCGTGGAATATCGGTATTATTATTTTTACTGGTTTAGAGGTAATAATTTTATTAATCTTTAAAATATCCTTTTTATCTACTGTACTAAATAATGTAAACTTAAAGTCATCTGATTTACTAGTTTTAAATTCAATATAGACACCGCCAAGATCACCGAAAAAATCTTTGCGCAGTTCTTTTTCGATGTATAAAGTTTCAAAATCAGATTTTTGAGAAAAGTTAAAAATCTTCTGATGAGTAATTCTAGTGTAAATTGATTCATATAAAGGATTTATATTAGAGTAAAAAGCTTCATCTTCTACATAAATATTGAGTAATGTGATTGCATTGGGTAATCTATTTATCGTAAAAACAGAATTAATCGGATCTTTTATTTCACAATCAGTATTTAATTTACTCAACGCATTTAAATTTAAAAAAGTAATTTGTGTTTTTTTATGTAAATCTATCTCTGTATTCGATGGTAAGCTATACATCGATTTCTGATTGTGATTATGTATATTGTTTATATTTACATATTCACTTTGAAAATCATTTTTGACTTCATAAACTATTTTTTTATTATTTATTACATCACATATTAGATTATCTTTTTTATGTGTGTGTAGAATAAAATCTTTAATTTCTTTATTTTTACTTTCAATAGCAATGCTTCTATATAAATCATTTTCAGAAATTTGTCTGTAAATTTGTGTATGTTCAGAAATGAATTTAAGTCTTACACTATCTTGATTTAATATACTAAATATTACATCTGAGGAAACTTCAAATTTATAAAAAAACTTTGGAATGTGTACCGATATAAAACTGTCAATATCTGAAAAATGACTGCTTACATTGTGTTTACTAGTAATATTCACTATGTTTTTAACATCTGTAACGTAATCCTGTTTTTCGCGTGGTGCAACATACGGTTTCCAAAAGTTTAGAGCATTTTTCGAATATCTAAATAACTTATTTACAGAAAATTCTTTATAATGTTTCATTTCAAGTTTGGATTTTAATTTAAATATGCGCGATTGTGTCATTTTAATGATATTAGAAGTAATAAAACTGTACACATATAATGTATTATTTTCAATATAAAAAATTAAAAAATCAGGATTTTTTTCGTCGTTCCTCTGAAAAAAAATTTTGTTGTTATAAACAATACGTATAAATTCAAGTTTTTTATCTAAAAAAACAAGTTCTACTAATGATATCGCTGAATTAAAGTTGTGGATTGTATTTAACTCTTTAAAAGATAAAATCACATTGTTTAATATTGATAAGTCATATATCTGGTTCATTATTTTTGATTCTTTAATCGTTAGATTTTCGTAAATATAATTGTTCGAGGAGCTAAAGTGCGAAGAATTTAGTGCACATTCGGGGATTAAAAAATGTGCACAATAAATTTTTTCTTTATCATTTAAGATCATATTATTTGTTCTGAAAGTAACATCATTAACAACTTTTATTATTTTATAATCTAAAGCTAAAAACATTTCTAAAGATTCTCTTATAGAAATTTGATTAACAGGTGTCGTGGGCGTAATCTTGTGTATAAGATGTCTTAAGTCTTTAAAATCTGCTGATATTAATGGAAGATAAATGGTGTTAAATGATGGATATACAAAAGATTGTAAAACTGAAAATTTAAAAGTTCTTCGTAGTAAATTACTTATGGTTCGTTTAAAATATTCATTTCCCTCTCCTTTTGATACGCCGCCGTCAATGTTAACTTCTAAATCTGGATTAGTTAAAAATGAATATTCTAATCTTGTGTTATAACTTAACGAGGGTAGTCTCATTAAAACATTCCCTTCCAATCTAGTTATATTGACTTCAGTGTTTAATATAAATTTTTTCGGAAGACCTATTTTTAGGCTTATTTTAATAGACCCTTTATACTCTATGGAAATAACAGCATGAACATTTTTAAAAACTTCATTATGTATTTTATCGAAATCTAACAACCCATCAGTTTTAATAAATTTTTTATATAGGTTTTTACAAAAAATAAAATTATTTTTGTCAACTGCATCGCCTAAATGTTGTCTTTCACTTGCATCAATAATCCTTATACTTTTTATTATAGGACCGGTGTTTCCGATATCGATATCTACAACATCTAATGACTGAATAATTCCAGTGCCTGGAATATCATCAAGAAGCCTTTTTATACGTTGTTTGATTCTATAAGCTTGTGCATTCGAATCAGCCAATTCGAACCAGAATCTATTGATTAATACATTAAGCCAATATAAATCCGTACACTGGTGAAGACTTTTTAATATATTTTTAGCTTGAATTGTAGTAAGCTCTTTTTTGGATGATGTCTTAAGATTATACTCTATAAGTTTATTGCGCTTAACTGCTCTACTTGGATAAAATATCAATAAAATAGGTAATAATATGAGCCCAACTATTATTCCTATGACAAATTGTATCATAAGTAAATTGTTTACATTTTTTTTCTATAAATTGTTTCAGAAATTTAAACCAATTATTTAAAACACTTGTTGACAAAAATATATTTAATTTGCAATTGAATAACAGGGAAAATTTTTTAGTTTATATTTTTTACAAAAATTTTATATTTAAGAAGTGAATCTATAAACTCATTGTAAACTTTTAAAAATATACTTTAGTGGTACAAGTCTTAAGATATATATATTATTAAATATCTACTAGCATCCCATAACACTTAAATAATTTTAAATTTTTAATAAATTTACAAAATACTTAAGTAGGATAAAAATAAACACAAATTTTTTTACAAATTACTGTATTCAAAGCGAATGCCGTATATTTTTTTACATAAAATTTGTAAAACCATTGATGTATATATTTTATATTTCTAAAATAAAAATTATTGTTTAAATTTTTTTCTTAAGTATAATTTGTGCCATTTATTGAAAAGTGTAATGGTAGATGGATGATTACTCCTTTAGCTTGACCGGCCATTCTTAGCCTTATTTCGTTATAAATTTTATATTGTAATCATTCACATATTCCTAGTGCTAATAAAAACAAGTTTTTAATTAAAAAATATAAAGCAATAAATCTGAAATAACAAAATAATTAATTTGAAATTTTTTATATATGAATCATTATTATTTATTTATAAAAAAACAACTAGCTCCTTATTTATAAACTTAGTACATTCTACACTCAATTCCATTTCCCCCACAACTCTAAATAAATCTTTTGCCATCTCATAATCATTAGCTTTCTTAATTACTTCGCATGCCACCTTAAAGACCTTTTCTAACACAAACTTTACATCAATTAGTTTAAAATCAATCGAAAAAAATGTTGTTTTTTTTAACGTAGCTATATCAGGACTCTGTATAAATTCATTAAATTTTAATAGAATGTCAAGCTTTTTAACATTTATCGATTCATCGGTTTTTTTAATTTCTAAAAAAATCTTTTTTGGTTCTTCAATATTTTGACCAGTAATTATACCTTCTGTAAAAATATCAATCAATATTTCAGTCAACAGCGAAGAATCATCAATTAACTTATACACCTTTAAAAGATGTTTTCTGTCATTAATATCTTTTAATCTTTTAACGACACAATAGTCAATGTTTTTAGATAAAGATAATCCAAGAATATCAAATAACTTATACTTTACAATATTTGATGATGCACACTCTTCGAAATCATCAACAACTTGATCAAGATTTGTTATACAATCTAGCTTCTTCTGAACGTTATTCATTTTTGTAGAAATAATAAACGTTAGATCTACAAATAGTTTTTTATCCTCAGATCGCTTTGCTAGTTCATACATTAAATAATATGTTGGAAGAATTGGTAAATCACTAAAATACAAAAAATCCATTGCTTTTTCATATTGTTTAGTCATTATAAGAACTATAAGTAATCCTCTTTTGCTTTTATAATTTTCAAATTTCTTTTGAAATATTTTAACGTCTGAATCGTTTTTTACATTTATTAGCTGAATCCATAAAAAATCTTCTACACTCGTTACAATATAATTGTCAACTATATTTGTTTTGCCTTGCATTATTTCGTACAAAACTTTTTTAAAACGATCTTCATTTTGACTTAAATTTATAGGCATTCCTAAAAAGGCTTTAGAGTTTAACCAAGATGTTAAATTTCTTTTAAAATCATTATCTAAGCTGTTAAAAAATGATGAATACTGATTTAACAAATTAAGTATTGAATTTGACAAACCACATCTTAGATAAATATAAATTTCAGCAAATAAATATCTTCCTTCATATACTTCTAAATTATAATCCTCGTAACTAAACTTCATCTTCACGAAAACAGAAACTTTATCTTCAAACGTTTTAAGTGGCGCGATAATCTCGGATGAATTCTCCGTAAGAAATCTATCAATGTATTTAATATATTCGATTCCCAAATAAATGACCTCTTGATCAAAATCGATAGAAGGTTTTACTGTATTTAAAAACGTATAAAGATCAAATAACATTGAATTATTAAATAATTCTTCTGTTGGTAAAGAATAAAAATTTTGTTCAAACTGTGTAACATCCATATTATTCCTTGTACACTTTTCATTGTTTTCATTTTGTCTTTTAATTTCTTTTAAATGTGCTTTAATGTTTTGAATAAATTTTTTGTCATTCGCTTTTTCGTATTCTTTAACTTTCTCACGTATTTTTTCGTACACAAATACATCAAGAACTGTTTGTATATCATATTCACGCCTCACTGGTTTTAAAAGATTGACCAAGGATGTTTTTACAGGCAAAACTGAATACTTCTTGTTTTTTTGTTGTATCGCTTTTAACTTTGCGACTACTTGAAAATAATTAGTCACATTTGAAGGTTCAAGGATAAAAGGAATTTTAAGTTTGTCACTCATTAAGGGTAAATGTTTAAAGAAATAAATATTTTAAAAATCCTTTGTATGAAACACAGAACAATAAAACGATTTGTAATAAAAATTAAACTGTATGTTTTAATTACATATTAAAATGTTTAATGTTAGTTTTAAGATGATTTAGAAATTTAATGTTAGTTCAAAGATAATTTAAATATTTAATGTTAGTTCAAAGATGGTTCCTTTATCTTTTTAACTGTCAATTTTTTATACCCTTAAATGAATATTTTTTCTCACCACAATGCAGGAACAACTGAAGAAAAAGGACAGGATGCTAGACGAACAATTCTTTCTGGCACTAATTTAATTGGTGATATTTGTAAAACGACACTTGGTCCGAAGGGAATGTTGAAAATTTTAAAAAGTGAAGGAAAAAGTCAAAATATAACTAACGACGGTGCTTTTATTCTTAAAAATTTACAGATTGATAGCGCCGCTGCTCGAATTTTGATAAATGCCAGCATTGGACAAGATTGGGAAGAAGGAGATGGTACTACAACAGTGTCGGTTCTGTCTAGTATAATTATTAATGAAATTTCAAAACTGAAAATTCATCCTATTAAAATTATTCGAGGCCTAAGATTGGCACAAGAACGATGTGAAAAGGTGTTAGAAAAAATATCTGTTACGCCATCTAGTAGCGATATTAAGTCGTTAATAAAGACAACACTATGTTCTAAAGTTTTGAAATATGATCTTGAAAAATTTTCGGATATGTGTATTCAGGCGGTAGAAAACTTAGAAAACAAGACAGATCTTAATCTAATACAAATTATTAAATGTCCGGGTAAGTTAGAGGATTCATATCTCGACGACGGGTTTATTTTAAATAAAGAATGTGTCATTACTCCTATGAAAAATCCTAAAATTTTAGTAGCTAATACAAGTCTTGATCAGGACAAAATTAAAGTATTTGGAGCAAAAATTAGTGTTAACAGTGTACAAGATTTAGCTGAAATGGAAAAAATTGAACGAGAAAAAATGATGAATAAGATAGAAAGTATTTGTCAGAATGGTGTAAATTGTTTTATTAATAGACAGCTCATTTATGATTTTCCAATGCAACTTTTAAGAACGAGAAATGTTCAACCTATTGAACATGCAGATTTTGATGGTATTGAAAGATTAAATAACGTTTTAGGAGGAAAAATTATTTCTACTTTTGATAAAATTGATGAATCCTGCTACGGAACGTGCGAGGAAATAAAGAATGTTGTTGTCGGCGGCAAAAAAGTTATAAAATTTTCCGGTATTAAAAAAGGAGCCAGTACTTTAGTTTTGTATGGATCGTCCAAAGAAATGCTTGATGAAGCCGAAAGAAGCATTCATGATGCACTTTGTGTGCTTTTAAAAATAAAACAGACACCTAAGATTGTGTATGGAGGAGGATCTTGTGAAATGGCTATGGCAGTAGAATTATCGAAGTATGCTCTTGAAATCTCAGGTGTAGAAAGTGAAGCAATCACTGCTTTTTCTAATGCTTTACAACAAATTCCTGTAATTTTATCAGAAAATGGCGGATTTAATGGAATTGAACTTAAGAGTCAACTTAGAGTAAAGCATAATTCTGGGTTAAGTAGCTTTGGTATAAATCTAAATAAAGGAGAAATCTGCTGTATGAAAGAAGCTTCTGTCATTGATAGTTACCGAATAAAAAAACGTGTAATATCAGCCTCTTCTGAAGTTGCACAGATGATTATTAAATGTGATGGAATAGTTAAGTGTAAACCAAGAGAACGTACAAGACATTAAATTTATTATTTACCCACTTTTTTTTAATTTTTTAGATTATATTGAAAGTATAATTAATTTATTACAAAATGTTTTATTTATAAATTATTGTTTAATAATGATCTAAAATTTATAATAGTTAATTTTTTTACATGAAGTTAATTTCAGTCTTTAAGTAAAGTTATAATGTTATGGCATAAAATATGAGTAGAAATATCTTTTGTTTTATTTATACTTGACTTTAGTAAATTAATAAGACATTTCATCTAGAAATACAACAATATACATGTTTTAGCTTATATTTATGTCTTTATGATAAAGATTGTCAAAAATAAAAATCTTATAAGCTTTTTCTGTATTTCACTTCTATAAAATATTTCTTGCGATACATTTAACTCATTATAAATATGAAATAATTTTTTCATAATAAAACTTTAGAGAGTATTGTAGAATTAATAATTTATGTAAAAGAACATGATTTTTTATCTTTAATCATATTTAAACATTTTTTTATTTTCCCTCCATCCTTTTCCCTCCATAAAATATAAAAGAAGATTTTTTACTGGGGGGTAATGGCAAGAATTAAACAATCAGCTCGTAAAACTGTAGGGGGTAAAGCCCCAAGAAAACAATTGGCTGCTAAGTCTACTTCAAATAAAGGTGTATCATCTGGTAGTTCAAAAACTACTACATCACACACTAGAAGGTTTAAACCTGGTACAGTAGCTTTAAAAGAAATTAGAAAATATCAGAAATCTACTGATTTATTAATAAGAAAGAGACCTTTTCAAAGACTTGTTAGAAGTATTATGAAAACTAAATCTGATATGAGATTCCAAGCATCGGCTATTTTGGCCTTACAAGAATCAGTTGAATCATTCTTAACAATTTTAATGGAAGATGCTTACAGATGTGTTTTACATGCTAAGAGAGTTACTTTACAACCTAAAGATATTTGCTTGGTTTACAAACTTAAATATGCACATATGTTGTATTCAGAGATATAAGTCAATAAAAATGTTTAAATTTTTTTTGTCTGGGTTTAATTTACTATTATTTATAAAAATAAAATCTAAAATTTATTTATTAATTTACGATAAACAAATTTAAACAAACAAACAAAATTTGATGAAAAAATTGATAATAAAAAATTTATCGATTTATTGTATTACAATACAAGAAATTTAAAACATATTATATTTGCTTTTGATTCAATTATAAAAAATTTGTTTATTATTCATTATATTTAAATGAAATTAAAAATACTGTTGTCTATTTAACAACAACTTAATACTTAAAATTTTTGGCATACATTAAATTTCTAATATTAAAATTTACAACTGTTTACTTTACATAATATTATAGATACATATAGCAAATATACTAAGTCAAAATCAAAATTTTACCACATTCGATTTAATGTTTTTAAAAATTTATAATTAATTAAAATGATAAATTTAACAGCCAATTTTCTTTACTCCAAGAGCTAAAGGATGCCTAGTATTTGAACATTTTAGCTTAATCAAAAACTTTTTTACTTGAAAATAAAATAAAATGAAGTAAGAGTATGAAATTAGAAGAAACTGTACAATAACTTAAATTAAAAGGTACAGGTGTGCCTTTGCAAGAAAAATAATGGTAGTTTATTTCTAAGAAAAGAAGTTATTAAAATTATAAGGTTACTAGAACCGGTTATAGAGAGGAATTTTTTTAAGAAACAATATTTTTTCTATGCATAAAATCTTGGTTACAGATAACATAAGTGATTTTTTATAGTAACAATGCTAATCTGGGTTAACAAACTTCCTTACTGGTTTACATAAAAAGTATAGATTGAATAATATAAAAACAGGAAAAAACAATTTTTGTAATATGAAAAAAGAAGGCTATAGCATGATTATGGAAAATGATGAATTCAAATTTGGCGAGCGCAATTATTACCAAAGCCACAGGATAAAAGGTACTTGGGTATTGTAAAACGTTTTGCATAAATAGGAAAATTTTAGAAGTCATAGAAAAACAAAAATTTTATTAGTTTAATTAAAAAACCATAATCTTCCTGATAGTATAATTTATACAAATTATTAGAAAGGTTATTACAATTAAGAAAAAAGGATATATACTGCAAAATGAATTATAGTGCTAATTATGTAAACCAAGCTACAAGAATTCATAATAAAACAATTATGAATCTTGAGCTAAAACTAAAAAAATATATTGATAAGAAAAAATAAGAAAGTTATAAAACATTTTCTAATATTTTTTCTTATTTAAAAAAACCGATTTAAACATTTGCAAAGATATTCTTCGGTTACTTGGACATATCTCCTTTGTACAAAACCTCATTAAAAATTACTTCTATCACACAAAAAATACAATTCGTTCATTTTTTTAAGTTTCCTCTTCATTTTTTTTGTTTTTTTGAGGGGTTAAAAATTTTTAAAAGGCAAGCCAATAAATGTTAAATTAAAGTATCTGAGTTTACCTTTTTAGCATCAAGTAGTAATTAAAAAAAATAAAAAAACAAAATCAGATAAACAATGCTATTTTTTATTTTTATTGTACAAATGTATTCATCTATTGCTACTTTTTCCGTTTACAATTCATACTGGGGACATTTTAAAAAAATATGCATAAACGTAACTGACATTAAACATAAACTTCTATTTTTAAAAATTGATGGGCCTAAAGATGAATATGGAGAGACAATCTCTTACAATATAGTAGGTATGAAAAATTTATTGAATGGTACTTTATATTTTAATGTATCTCTTCCTATACTGAAATATGAATACAAATATTATTTTTATTACACAGATGAATTCAACTATACAAAATACACTACAGAAGTTAAAAGTTTAGAAGATTCATTAAAAAAAGGAAAAATATCTTTAGAATTTAAAGAATAAAAATATTGTAAATGACTAATTTATTGTATCGTAAAAATTTAAACATTCTATCTTGTCTTTACTTCGCTCATAACTAACATTAAAAAAATCTTCAATACCTATTATCTCTTGTTTTACTTCCTCAATTTTTAATTTCAAATCAGCATTATAATAAATTTCTAATATCATTTGGCATTCTTTAATCCATTTTACAATTTGTGCAAGTAAACCATTAATTTTTTCTAAATAAAATTCATATTCATAAAGATTACCAGGTATGCCCCTATTTGTTTGACAAATACTTGTAACAGAAAAATCATCATCTTCTAAATCATTTTGGATACATTTTAATCTATTTTTATATTTAATTAATTTTTTTAAAATCTTGTCAATCAAAGTGTATTGTTTAATGCTAACATTAAATAAATCAGGTTTAATAGAAGAAATTTTATATAATCTATATATATCTGCTATACTACCACTTTGTACAAAATATGAAAGACTCTGTTCATAATCTTTAATGTATTGTTCGTAAATTATACCCAATTCATAAAATTTGTTTTTGTTTTTTAAATTATTAATCAAAATTTGTTTGTATTTATCAGCCGACTCATTCAAAAATATTTCCTTATACATGTCATTGTCTAAATACAAGTCTAAAAGACGCTTTTCATATTTAAGATACTGTAATATCCATATATTATCATTAATGGAAGATCCTGAAATATAAAGCTCGAGTAAATTAAAAGGTGCAGGATTTTCCAAAATAATAATATAAATCAGTAATTTTTTATATAAATTATATTTTTTTACCACTCGACATAAATCATTATACATATTTTGTTCAATAAAATAATATATTAATTCGTCATATAACTTGTATATCTCTAATATTTTATAAAAATCATTTTCTATATCATTTATCAAATATACATCTTCATTGATTAACTTACAAACATTTTTTACTAAATTAAGATCTTTTTTATGTTTATAGCAAAGAATTAATCCTATTTTTATTTCTTCTTTTGAAAAATAATTTTTACACATTTTTATGCATAAATCTAAATTTTTAGAATATAAAATAGCTAAATCGATACGACCGCATTTTATAAAAATGTATTCTCTAATATCTGATCCAAATATATTCAAAAATTCTTGTATCAATTCTGTCTTTTTGCATTCTATTTTCACAGAACTGCCCTTTACAAAAGAAACAAGCTTTTTATTAAAACAATTTTCAATTTTATGCTCAAACAAATTTTGAGTTGAAATCCATGTATCTTTAAAAATAAACGCAGAATTACTTTTTTCGTTAATGCATTTTATAGCAGATAAATCAGTACATAAGGTCATATTCTGTATCATAAAAATAAATTCACTGTCTAAGACCAATTTGTAATCTTTTGTTATTTCATCAATAATAAAAAATAAATATTTATTTTCTAATTCTTTTATCTTTTGTGTATTAATATTAATTAATTCTATTTTTATATTATGCTTTAACATCATATCAATACTCTTAGTATACTCTTCTGCTAAAAAATATTTAGATATTTGTTTTTTAATAAAATTTCTGTTATAATACGTGTCTATAGAATTAAACCTACTAATTCCAAATATTTCTAAGTCTGTTGTACCTAGAATCTTAAAATTCGTATCTGTAACAATGTATGTATCATCTATAAATATTTTATCTTCTTTAGAATAAACTAATATATCAGATACAAAGAATGAAAAAACACTCGATATTTTATGTGTAGAAGTGTATAATGTATTATCAGATAAAAAATAAAGTTCATTATTTACATACATTAAAAAATACTCTTTTGAAATAGAAGAATATGTAAATAATACAGTTTTCTTATTATTATCTTCAAACATGTAAATTTCTCCGTTTTTACTAACACGTAATATTTTTCCATCTATATTATGCATATTTATATCCTCTTCACTGCAAATAACTTGTTTATTAAACATACAAATGCCATTATAAAATTTATTCATATTTTGTTTCTTTTCTAATAAATTGAAATCAATACTAAAAATAAACATTTCATTATCAAAAAGTATACCTATTTCTTCTCTATCGATCATTATTCTTTGTATTGGTTTTTTAAAATTAATTAAAAAATCATGACATGCCAATTTATTTTTATCAAAATTGTAAACAAGAATACTGTTATAATCAATAACAAGAAAAAGATTTCCAATTCTTGTATATTCTCTATTTATAAAATAATAAAACAAAGAGTCATCTGTTTCACTAATAATTATGTCATTATAATATGATATAAATCTTCCTCTTATTTTGCAGATATGCTTTGTTCGCCAGTTACCATCTACTAACTGTAGAATAATAACTGAATCTTTACAAGCTAATAATAACAAAAAATCTTTAGAATAGCATTTCTCGATACTAAAAGATTCTTTTAGAGATATTTTATTATACACACAACCATTTTCCTCGATAAAAGTTATTTTATGGTGACTTACTACACACCAATAGTTATATCTTTCTATATAACATGCAGATAAACATACAATATTATATTTACTTAACAATGTCATTTCTACATTATAAAATACTATTTTATCGTCAAATATTAATACAAACGTGTTATCTGTAGAGAATTCTACTTTAAGAACATCACCCGGATTATCAATTTCACCAATAACATCAAAATATTCATTACTAAATAGAAGCAAAGATTTACAAGTAACAACTAGCGTAAACTTTAGATTATTAGCAATAGTTTTTATTTCGTCTTTAAATGTTCCTAAATCTGTAATGTTGAGTGTATGCTTGTTTATTAGAAAAAGATTGTGTAAATTTTCTACTATCAAAAATTCATGTTCAAAATTAATAAAAAACGAAATAGTAGAAAATGTATCATCTGACACGTAGATATCATCAATAAAAAGTTTTTTATCTTTTCTTGTTAGAATACTACCGTTACTATATAAAAAAGGATACTTTACTAATTTTGACTGGTAATTAACAAGATAGAAATTTTCCATAAAGGGAGTAAAAAATAAAAATTTATTAAAAATAAAAACATAAAATTATATTCCTTTCTTTCGTCTTGTTTGTTCTTTATGAAATAATTTAGGACCATTAAACATAGAATCATACTTAAGATTCAGTTTCTCATATAAAATATTCTTTTCTTGTACAACATCTACATTTTCAGTAATCGTCGCATCTTCATCTAACCATTCATTTTTGTAATCAATATTTTTATAAAAGTCTGTATTGTCAGTCCACTCACCCATGTAGGGTTATAAAAAAGTAATTATAAAAAATAAATAAGAAATGATTTAATATCCCATATATTTAACACCCATTTTCTTTAAAGAATAAAGTACATCTGAACATGTTATAGTCTTTCTTTTTGCATGATTAGCATAAACAAATGAATAAGAAATTATACCAGTCATATAACTCTTTGCTGCTACCCTAATTTCATTAAAGCATCCCGACCCTACTCTACTAACACCTGCTCTTCTTGCTAATCTTCTTATTGCAGGTTTGCTTATACTTTCTTCATTAGACGCGATCTTTCTGTGTTTTTTTGCAATTCCTTTAGCACTTTTTGATCCTTTTCCTCTTCCTTGTGTTGACATAGGGGTTATAAAATTTTCGTATTTAAGTTTTTTTAACAAAAAAGGCGGGATGACACAAAAAAGGAGGGAAAAGTAATAAATTAGCAAATATTTGTAACAAACAATTTATATATTAGCAAATTGGTAGATAAAGATAAACAATTTTATAAATAGTTTTGATTTACATTTTTGTGTTTGTTATTTTATATTAAATTAATATTTGTCAGTGGCTTGACACTATAAAAAATAAACAAATTCGTGCAAAACCTTTGTGTCTATTTCAGAAAACTAGAAGCTATATACAAGATTTAAAAATTACGTTTTAAATTAAAAATGTAAAAAATTTTAGATCACAATTTCTTTATTGGTAAGAACATGCCTCATCTAGGGAGAGATTTTAGTTTTAAAATATCATCCTAAATGTTAAGGTTTTATTACTATACTTGTTATATAAAATAAGACCAAAATCTTTTCTATGCTCTACACATTTGTTCTGCTTATTATCCATCTTTTAATTTCCCACTCTTTAAAAATTAATTTTTATTATTTTTGATACAAATAAATAGCTAAAACAGCCTGTTTCAGCAAAAATGAAGGTCATGAGATTTTTTAAAAAAATACCCAAAAAATAAAATTTAAAATGTAAAATCAGAAAAATTTAATCTAATTGGTGATTTATTAATAAATGCATTCAATATACAATAGATGAATATTAGAATTATTCTTTAGTAACATATATCCAATTAAAAAGCGACAAATTAATTTTCTAGTTCTACACCTAAAAGGAATAAATCTTTTTGTAGCAGTAAGAGTTCTTTCTATAGTATTTGTGTGTACATTGATAACAGGATCTTTAAAATGCCTACTATGATTCACAGTCTTGTGATTGAAATTAGATTTTTTAAGATTACTATATCCTCCACAGCAATCACTATAAATTATAGTATCAGGCTAGAGCCAGCCTTTTATTTTCATCTGCAAAGTGGTTTTTGTGCGGTCAATAACTTGGAATAGTAACACTCTCTTTTTGCTTTCCCTTTTCACAGGACTAAAAACATAAACACCCTCTACAGGATGGCTCCTGTTGTATTTTCTGCAATATAATTTACCAAATGTCAACTATTTTAGTTTATTTTACTATCAGTACTTACTCTTACTTTTACTCATAGGAATTACAGAAAAATGGGAAAATAATTAAATAAATTTCGGCCTGCAATATTTTCTGTGGTCGTAATACTACATTTTCTTTTGCCAAACTTTGATTCATCAATTTCTATTATCTCGTTAGCATTTCCAATATAATTAATATTTTTACAATTTTTCAACTAAAAGCGCGGACACTTTACGTAAAACATTAGATACGCATTTTTTAGAAATTCTTAAAATATGTGAAATTCCGGTGTTGTTAATTTTTTGTAACCTGATTCAATCATTTTTATAAAGAAAAATATATTTATTAAGGTATATATATAAGTTTTCTTGCTTTTATTCATCACGGGCCGTCTTCAAAACTTCCAAACCCGAGTCCGTCATCTTAAAGTTTTCCTTCTCAGTACCTGCTTCTAGCTCCAGTTAAGCATCGGGGCTTCGGCGACTGGCGATAGTTAGGCTTTCCAATTTCATCTTGAGAACTCTTGTTTGTAAATATGTCTCGGTTTAGAACACCAATTTGGGTCGTTTGCATACAGTCGGTGGTGATTTGTTACTATACCACCCCAATTATTTTTATAAATTGATATTTCAAATCTTTATTCCATATAAAAAGGGATTTTGCCATACAGAAACTCGTTTTCTAGATTTGAATACACTTATTCTTACATCTTATATATTCGTACAAACTGCCATTTCCTATACAAATATCTTCTTGCATGTTTTACATAAAGTTCCATTATTTAATAAAAATCTGCTCCTTAATATCTTTTTTCTTTAACATTTTGATTTTCATGACTTTCATTTTTGGCCACACAAAATATCCTGCTCGCAAATAATTTGTAAATATTTACATAATAAAAATGTTAAACTCAAACATTATTGTCAATTTAAAGACTACAACAAAAAACAAAAAATACTACTTAACAACAACTGATTTATATTATTTTAGTTCAAAAAAAAAATTTACTCTTTAAGATTTATTAAGTTTATTACTTCTTATTTTTTAATCTTTCCTCTGTTTCTCTTTTTATAATACCATAAACTGAATTTTTTCCTTTTATATTGATAGCATTTATAAACTTCTCATAATCTTTAAATATTATATAAAATGTTTCTAGTACATTCAAAGGTGGTTGTTTAAAGCCTAAAAACTCTTTTATATTACGTATAAAAGGATTGTTAATCAAAAGTCTGGGATGATAATTCTCCGCATAAGCTTTGCAAATAATAAATGCATAAAACAGTTCGTCCATGTTACTAACAGTAATAAACTCACATTCTGCTAAAATATTATAAAATAATTT